AAGAATCAACTGCCATAAAACACTGAACAGCCAAGTTTTTAAAAAAAATTTTTGGACATATCCAGTGACCTTTGTCATAGAAAAAAATAGAATCTTCACAATGGGCATGCAAATGGAGTGGTCACAGCAGCAGAAATGGAGCTATGTAGGACCAATAGCATGGCCTCCTACTTGCCAAGGCCAGTCTAACTAAAATGAGATATTATTTCACAATCTCTAAAATGGCTAAGTTTAAATGATGGGCAATGTCAAGTATTGGTGAGAACTGTCATTCATTGCCAAAAGTAGAATAAAAAGATAACTACCATTTGCCAGGGTTTAGCAAACTTTTTCTGTAAAGGACAAAACAGTAAATATTTTAGGGTGGACAATTTCTATGGTAATGACTTAATTTGCAGTTGTAGAATTAAAGCAGTCATAGATAGTACATAAGCAAATGAGCACAGCTAAATTCCAGAAAACTTTACTTATAAAAATAGGAAACCTGACCATGAGCTATAGTCTGCTGGCTATGTTCCATCACCCAGACATTTGCCAACTAAGTACACATGCATATCTTCACAGAAAAAGGTGAAAAAAAAATCCTTTTGGCAACTTAGACCAAACCAGAAACAATCCAAATGTGTCTCATCAGGAGAATGGACAAGTGTGGTGTTTTTCATGTAATAAAATACACACAACAGGGCTGGGGTTGTGCCTCAGTGGTAGAGCTCTTGCTTAGCGTGTGTGAGGCTCTGGGTTCAATTCTCAGCACTACATATAAATAAATAAATAAATATCCATCAACAATAAAATAATTTTAAAGATACACACAACATAAATGAATTTCAAAGACATTGAATAAGTCTACTACAAAAGAGCACACTCAGTGTATCAGTTATCTTTTGCTGTATAACAAATCACTCCCAAAACTTAGTGGCTTAAAACCACAGCTATTTATTTAGCATGACTCTGTACCTTAGCAATATGAGCTGGGCTTGATGGGGCTGTTCTGATTTTGGCCAGGTTCACTCATGCATGTGTAGTCAACTACTGAGACAGCTGGTCCTGGCTAGTACAATTACCAATTTACATGAAATACCAGGGTCAAATGACCATGTTCAAACAAATCAAGAGGATGGAATGAGCAAAACCCAAACCCAGAAGCTATAGGATAAACTGTCACAATCTAGGTTTTTATGGCTGGGTACGGTGGTGCAGGCCTGTAATCCCAGCAGCCCAGGAGACTGAGACTGGAGGATCCTTGATTCAAAGCCAGCATGAACAAAAGCAAGGCACTAAGTAACTCAGTGAGACCCTGTCTTTTAATAAAATGCAAAATAGGGCTGGGGATGTGGTTCAGTGGTTGAGTGCCTTTGAGTTCGATCCCTAGAGCCCAAATAAATAAACAAATAACCAAGGGAATTAAATGGGAAATTGAAGAACCTATAGGTTAGTAGAATTATAAGAAATGTATCAGCCAAATGTAAAGTTTGACCTTTTTAAGAAAAATATTTATAAAACAAAGAAACTTGAAACTCAACTATATTTGATAATATTAAGAAATTATTGTCAATATTTTTGGTGTGATTATTATATTTTAACTACTTTTTAAAATACTCTTGCTTTTGGATTTACACATTCTGAGATCCTTGTGGGTAAAATTCAATGATGGTTGGGATTTGCCTCAAAATAATTTTCTGGGAGATAGAATAGAAATTTTTTAAAAATAATGAGTTGGTAATTGTTGAAACTGTATAATGGGAGCAGAGATTTCTTACATAATTCTATCTACTTTTGTAAATGTTAAAACCTTTTCATAATAAAGTGTTTTTTAAAACCAAGGGAGAAAAACTGAAATGCATTTTTTTCCCCTGGGTGTTGTATGCTGTGCTGGAGGGAACTTGGGCAGTTTTCTTCTGACATTGAATGGCAGAGCAGAACAGAGAAGCATATGCCTGCATCCTTGGTTATAGTATTGAGCTATGAAGTTAATCAGTTCTGGAAACAGTCTATCTTCTATTCTTGTTATATGAGATGATAAGTCTTTCTCATTTTTGGTTGGGTGTTCTGTGACTTATAGGCAAACGCATCCAAACTGATAGGGAATGACATGAAATTTGTGAGATTGACAAGATCACAGAGTTTAATTTAAAACTGTGAGACTGGTGATGAAGAAAATGTCTGAGCCTCTTTCAGATACTGGAAAGTCAAGCTGGTATACATTTGTTTTCAGTGCCACTGAGCCTTGCTCTACTTTACTAAATGGATTTTCAGAGTTCTAGAGACAATCAGAGCACTTTCGTTTTTTGAGGAATATATTTTTTAAATTTTAGGAAAGCCAAAACAATGCTTCCAAGATTGTCTATTTTGAATATTTATGTGTAATGATATACAAATACAAAATACAAAAAGTTATAATGCAAAATTGGGGCTATTCACAGGATAATTATAAGATAAAAGCAAAATATTGGGCTGGGGTTGTAGCTCAGTGGTAGAGCGCTTGCCTAGCATGTGTGAGGCACTGGGTTCAATCCCCAGCACCACATGAAAAAAATAAAAATAAATAAATAAATAAAGGCATTGTGTCCATCTACAACTAAAAAAAAAATTTACAAAGCAAAATATTAATTTATGGTCTACTGTAGGGAGTATAGCTCAGCACAGAAGCACAAGTTCAAATTTCTATTCATCTAATCATTCTACTGGGGGAACTATATAGATGATGGTTTAAATTTAAGACTTTTTATGAGTAGAAATTCTGCTTTGCTAGCCCTCCAGGACATCCTGATCTTTCTTGCAATAAACCTCCATCTCTCACCTTGCACAAAACTCAACTCAAAGTGGATCAAGGACCTAGGAATTAGGCCAGAGACTCTATCTAATAGAAAAAGAAGCAGGCTCAAATCTACATCATGTTGGCTTAAGACCTGACTTCCTTAACAAGACTCCTAAAGCACAAAAAGTAAATCAAGAATCAATAAACGGGGACTGAGGTTGTGGTTCTGTGGCATAGCACTAGCCTTGAGCATGTGAGGTACTGGGTTTGATCCTCAGCACCACATAAAATTAAAATAAATAAACAAAATAAAGATTGTACCCATGTATAATTAAAAATAAAAAAAAATTAAAGAATGGAAAATTTAAAAATGAAATTGGAGAAGAGCATGCTAAGTGAAGTAAGCCAATCCCCAAAAAACAAAGGCCAAATAATTTCTCTGATAAGTGGATTTTGATCCATAATGGGCAAGAGAAGAAGGGAGGAACTTTGAATTGAGCAGAGGGGAGAGAGTGAGGGAGGGGAGCGGGGGAGGTTGTGGAGATAGTAGAATGATATGCACATTATTACCCCCATGTATGGGTATGATTGTACAAATGGTATAATTCTACATCATGTACAACTAGAGAAATGAAAAGTGCTCCATTTGTGTAAAAAAAATAAAATTAAAATTTTTAAAAAAGAAAATCATATGTATGTAGTATTTTACAGTTTCAGAGGTCATTTAACATAAATTCTTTAATTTTCAAAATGATCCAGTGAGGTAATGTGGGCTTACTAGATGAAGACCAAAAACTCTGATCATGACCAGTCATTCTTGTCTCTTCAATTGGATGAACAAAACTTCGGCATAGTCTCCTAATGGATCAACTAGAACAAAACAATTAATTTAAATGTCACCAGATTCAAAGACATGCAATGTGCCCACAAATGATTTACAACTAAACTGACCAAAGAGAAACATGTGAACCCCAAATGGGATTGGGATTTCAAAAACTGCCAAAAAATTGGGGCTGGGGATGTGGCTCAAGCGGTAGCACACTCGCCTGGCATGCGTGCGGCCCTTCGATCCTCAGCACCACAACAAAAAAGATATAATGTCTCCGAAAACTAAAAAAAAAAAAAAAAACAAAAAAAAAAAAACTGCCAAAACAGTGGGAGCTTAGAATTCTCCCACTTCATATTTGCTAATACGGTAATGAAGATAGTACATTATAATAATGTACGTTTATTGGTATTTGGTAAAAGGTTATTTGCTTTTCCTATTTATCTACCTTTTTATTTGTTTTTCTGTATCTGTGATTTTCCCCTGTGCGTGTGTGTGTGTGTGTGTGTGTGTGTGGCACTCACGCACTTTTCTCAAATTATTTATTTTGGGACCAGGGATTAAACCCAGGGGATCTTAACCCTGAGTCCCATCCCCAGGTCTTTTTATTTTTTATTTTATTTTGAGATATGGCTGGCCTGGAACTTGTGATCCTCCTGCCTCACTCTCCCAAACTGCTAGATTTACATGCCTGTGCCATTGCTCCCAGCGATTTATTATCCCTTTGGTACTGTTTTCTTAAATCATGAATTTATTTCTTTATATTTACTAATTTCTTCCTCCTACTTTCCTCGTGTTTATTTTTATATTTTTTCCTCCTAAACTTTTGCTTGTTTAATTTACTATGACTTTTCGTATGGGGGCCCTGCTTTTTTATTACTGTCCACCCCCATTTGACTTTTTTCCCTGGTTTTTCATGGAAAAGATCACCAGAAATAGACATTATGATTGCTGTATGTATATAGGTGACTCTATGACCAGTGTGATTCAGCAATCCGTACAATCAGAAAAATGAGAAATTATACCCCAATGATTCAAATGTATGAATTGCTAAGATCATTGTAATGTCATGTGTAGCAAATAAATAAATAGAAAGAAAGAAGCTTATTTTGGAAATATATATATATATATATATATATATATATATATATATATATATATATATATATACACACACACACACACACACACACATACATACATCACCAGGGAGCTTTCCTCCCTCTGAAGCTGAACCAGGGAGGAGGAACCCCAAGGCTCTAGGAGGAACTGGGTGGCAGAGAGAAGGCTCCAGTAGGCTCGCCCCAGAGACCCGGGCTCTGCCGGCCAATCGTCACCACCGAAGCCTTTTTCTTCTCCTTGATTGGCTTTCGTGGAGACGCCCCCATCTGTATTTGGAAGGGACGGTGGCTGGCGGTGGACATAGGGTAAAGGAGCGGAAAGGGCTTGCGCGTGTGGGTCGCAGCCTCCCTTCTGTCAGCAGTCAGGCGCCCTGGATATGGCGGCGGCCGCGGCAGCGTCAGTACTGCTGGTGGCGGCGGAGAGGAACCGTTGGCGGCGTCTCCCGGTCCTGCTGCTGCCGCCGAGGTGACCGCGGCTGGAGGGGCGGTGGATCAGTGGTCGGGGGCTAGGACACAGGGTGCATAGACCCGCATGAGCTGCGGGAAGTGCGGAGGGACCCAGGGTCGCAGGCTGGGAGAGAACTGAAGGAAAACCCCAGCCGCTTTCCGGGGGGTGGGGGGGTGTTCTGCGGTCAGTCTCTGCAGCAGAAATGAGACATCTCCACTCATCCTTTTCTTTATCTCTTCCCGCATCCACCCTTCAATCTGCCGTTGGCTTGTTTTTCCACTTACGAGGACTGGGAGAGAGGTGGAGCTGGGCCTGCCATCCTCCATGCTTCTGTCGACACTGTGCACCTCCTAGGCGTTTACTTTCTGCTTTCGCAGCACCGTTTGTGTGCCATCATTATTACAATCCCGGTTCTGATGAAGCTCAAGAAAACCATAGACCTGCCCAAGATCACGCAACTAGCAAGAGGGGCCTGGACGTCCTCAAAGTCCATTACAGTTCAGCTCTTGGGTCCAAATCAAAGAAAGACTCCTGGGGCTCTTTCCCATTGTTAGTTAGCATGCATTCAGTTAATAAGAGTGAATTTACTTTCCATAGGGCTGGGACATTTGTCAAAAGCTCTTATACCCAAGTTGGAACAGAACCATCTACCAAGTGACTCACTCTAGAAACCTGGCTCCAGATCCATTTCAAATTTTAGTTCCAGGCATGAGTAATGATTATTCTGGCAGTGAAAACACCCTCAGATTTGCAGGTAGCTAGCTTCTTTATCTTTCTTTGCTTCAGTGTTATCATTTTCCACCATTCTGGAAAGACAATGTAGCTTAGTGTTCAGAGGCACAGACTGCAGTTAGAAGGTTGGTTCTCAGCTTAGTTACTCACTAGGTGTGTGACCTTGGCTGAGTTACTTAATACATCTGCTTCAATTTTCTTACCTAGGAGGAGGTGATGCCAGTATTCTCAGTTGTGAAAATTAACACATGGAAAGAAGTTTAAACAGAATCTGACCTGTTTCAATCATTTCATAAACAAACTTTGTAAACTCAGCCCTTTAGATAAACTTGTTTGCTTTTATTTTCCACAAATGATTGTAGCCGCCTTGGACTTTCAATTACTAAATTATAGGACTCACCTAAGCAAAATAAGAAAGTTGGTGAAAATAATAGTAGTGCCACTCTTTTTCTCCTGACTTTTCTTCAGTTCCCAGGGATCTTCAAAACACTACTACAGACCCCTTTCTTTCACTTCCCTCTCAAAGCTTAGTACCTATAGAATGATTCTGAATATTGCTGTCACTCTAGAAAGCCTTAGAGTTGTTGATGGATTATAGAATTTAAAAAAAAATGAGTCGGTATAAGGATTTTACATTTCTCTTCATGCCATGATTCTCTGATAGCTTAGAGAAAAGAATTTTTAGTCGTGAAATTCTAGGCATGAGAATAGAAGCTTTCTTGAGTCAGAGTGTATTTATTTCATGGAAGCAACCTCTTAATTTTGTTTAAGTCACTGTTTTTAGTTGTAGCTTAGATAATTGTGGAAAATGGAATATACCAATTAAAACATTGTTGAGATAGAGGATTATAATGATATATCTATCTCCATCTCTTTTTACTAGAAGATGGCAGAAGAAAACTTTAGGTCAACAGTGGCCTTGAAACTTTATTAGGTCTTAAGCTAAATTTAATGAGAATTCACCACTTTATAGAAATATCTGATTAGGACAGGCCTTAAATCTTACCACAAACCTACCTGAAGAATACAAAGGAAAGAAGATGCTAAATTAGAAAATACCTTATAAAAAATCAGAAAAGATGCTCTTCCTTGAAGATCAAGAAAGTGAAGTCAACTGAATTGGGAAGATGTGGAAGAATGGCATCCTTCTAGGGAAACTCTCTTACACGACTCATGTGCCAAAGCTGTGGGTCTTCCCACCAGCCTTTCATGGATGGCAGCATCCAATTGAATGTGTATTAAGTGGCAATGAGTATATAGAGTCACTATAGTGATGCAGCCTTCTGAATCTATGCCCCAGTGCAATATTAGTCCTACTCAGTTACATAGTATATAAAAAAGATATATATATACTGCTATATAATTATACAGTATCTTATGTACACTGTGTGGAAAGTTTTCACTTTATGAAACCTTTGTAACAATGGTTTTGCTACATCTTCCAGATGTAGATGGAAAAGATTAAGGTGGAATTGCTTCTGCAATTTGATTTCCCAGCATTTTCTTTTTTTAACTGAAATCTAGTGAATATCGTACTTTTTTGTTCTCAAAGTGAATCTTGCCTGCTTTCCATCAGCTCTTGACTAATGTTTCAGTGTTAAATTACTGTCTAAACAGGTATTGGGGAACTAAACTGTCATAAACATTCATGAACTTCTACCTAGGTAAAACAGATCAAACAAGTTATTCCTCCTTTCCTTTAATACAGAAACTTGGAATTGAATTTCATATTTTTAAAGCTGTGATATGTCTTCAGAATCACCTCTTATAGTCCTCTCTTGTACAAGAACACTGAATATAAGATGTAAGGCTTGCATCCCCAATTCAAGGGGCAAATATCAGTTCCTGGGAGAGCAAAAAAAAAAAAAATCTTACATAGCATCATGGTTTGTGGCCCTTTAAAGCTCAGTCTTACATATAAAATCTTATCTCATAGTTCTTAAGTTTTCTCATGAGGAGAGTAGTAATGAAAAAAACAGTTGAAAAGCACTGGTGACTTGAGCTTGGGCAAGTTGATCATTGGGTCACAGATGAACACTCAGCTAGCTCTTCTGACTCCATAGCCAGCATTCTTTCCCTTTGCTGCCCTTGCTCGGCTTCCTTCCCTTTACTTGTCTGTTCTTAATGTCAAACCTGTCCTATTAGGATTGAATTCTATTGGTATTTTTTAAACTAGTTTAACCATCATATTTTTAAAAGACAAAAAAGGAAAGTATCAAAATGTAGGGTTATTTATCTTTGATGAAACTTCTAATTATGTGTGTGTGTCAGGTAGTATTTACTGAGAGTTATTATGTTAAAAAAAAAGTTGGAAAAAAAGCTGAAGTAGATGATCTTGAAGCACCTTAGTTTTTTAATCTTCTGTGATTCTGTGGTCAGATGTCAGACTCTATTGTAAACCCGTTAGGTGACTCATTCAAGGACTTGTAGTTCAAGAGGAAAACAGCCAGAACTCTTAGCTCCTTATTTCTAGATTAGTTTTCTTTCCCAAAGAAAGTCTTACTAAATCACTCTGTTAGTGTTAGGTTTAGTAAGGTTTAACTTAGATTGTATCTGGGTTTGGTTTCAAGTTTTTTAAAAAATTAGATTTTGAAAGAACAATAACTGATATTGTGTTTTCTCGTTAATTTTTATTTCATTTGGGTTTGTTTTATAGGAAATGGACTTGGAAGCAAAGAACCATGAAGTATGGAACAACCACAGGTACTGACAGACTTTGTTGGCTTTGCTTCAAACTGAACTAAGAAAGAGACATGTTTAGGCTGGGTGTGTGGTGCACATCTGTAATCCCAGCAACTTGGGAGACTGAAGTAAGAGTTCAAAGCCAGCCTCAGCAACTTAGAGAGTATCTAAACAACTTCATGATAACCTGTCCCAAAATAAAAAGGGCTAAGAATATAGCTCAGTGGTAAGCATCCCTAGGTTCAATACCAAAACAAAAAAAAGAAAAGAAAAAGAAGAAGAAGAAGACATGTTTAACCTTTAGTTTTATGTGTAATAGAATTAGTTCTCACAAACCTTTGAAGTTTGGTATTTTTATGATAATTTTCTTAGCAATTTTTAAGTCAGGTTTTCACTTCTTTTATATCAAAAATGCCTCTTGCTGTTGAGTCTAAAATACAGCAGGTAGTAATGGAGAACATTTTATATTTATGTTGTTATTTCTGTCTGTCTTACCCTTGTATTATGTTGAATTGGAAAAGCATAACTATGGTGGTTAGTGCTTTTAAAACTCTTCTTTTTAAGTAGCAGAATCTTTTTCTTCAAATAGAATTTTATGTGGAATTTCCAGCTATAAAACTGATGAATATATACTAAAATTATAAATAGAATAAATATTATAATAAAAATAGAATATAGTTATAACTTTCATCCATCCCACCTCCAAATGCACACATAAATCTTTGATTGGTGACTTCTGATAACTCTTGAGTTCTATGGATCCCCATAACAAAACGCTATTTTAAGTTATGTGAACCTTTATTTTTTTTAGAATGACTTTATTACAAACTATCAATATTTACTTCCAATGATGATAGAAGTGCATTTTACATGTTAATTCAATGGCATGTCATTATATGGCTGATGGCAGGCAACTGATGCAATATATAGCCTGTGTACCTAGGATTAGAGGCAAGGAAACAGAGTAACTCAGAACTCAGTTCTGGAGTCAGGCAAACCTAGGTTCAAATTCTGGATTCACCACTTATTTTAGCTTTATAATTTGAAAAGAGTAGTATCTGTTTAAGCCTTAATTTCACCTTTAAAATGGAGATAATGACAACAGTATCATTAGTTGATCCTCCTCATTCAAAAATTTAACATCCATGGGTTCTGCCTCCATGGAATCAAGAAACAATTTATAGAAAGTATTCAGAAAAAACAATTACATTTGTACTAAATATATACAGACTTTTTCCATATCATTATTTCCTAAATAATACAGTAAAGCAACCATTTACATAGCAATTTATATTGTATTAGATTAATTAATCTAGAGATGGTTTAAAGTTACACTGGAAGATGTGTGTTATATGCAAATACTGTACCATTTTATAGTAGGGACAAGAGCATTTAGGGAGTTTTGTATCCACATGGGTTCCTAGAACCAATCCCCTGAGGATACCCAGAGACACTCAGGTTTGAGTCTTTCACATAAGACCTGAGGCATAAAACCTGCTTATTAGAGATTAGTTATTATTAGCTAAGATGATTTTTAAGGTATTTTGATTTTATCTTTGACATAACAAAGCATGTTTTAATTTTAAGTTTAAAAAGCTAAGTAATTGTAGAATTTATGTTAATAGGGATATCTTGAATTTCAGTGAAGAGAAAAAAAATGCATTAATATTTGTTAAAAAGATAATTTTAGGAGTTGGGGTTGTGGCTCAGTGGTAGAACACTTGACTGGCATGTGTGAGGCACTGGGTTCGATTCTCAGCACCACATAAAAATAAATAAATAAATAAATAAAAGGTCCATCAACAACTAAAATATATGTATGTACACAAAATTTTTTTAAAAAATGATAATTTCAGGCTGATTTTACCAAGACAAATCTTTATCAACTGGTTACGAATATTCTAATTCTTGTTTCTTATGCCTCAGTAATATTTGCGTATGATCTTTATGGTATTTTAAACAGGAAGAAACATTACCAAGGTCCTCATTGCAAACAGAGGAGAAATCGCCTGTAGGGTGATGCGAACAACCAAAAAAATGGGTGTGCAGTCCGTGGCTGTTTACAGCGAGGCAGACAGGAATTCCATGCACGTAAATATGGTATGTTATTAAAATCTGGAAGCTAAATCTTGTAAGGATCACATTTATTTGCTTTATTATGTAAGTTTAGTTTTTTTATGATGACAGTTGATGTTTGCTAGGGTTAACAGAGTTTAAGTAGCTAAGGTCAAACTATTCACTAATAATTCTAAGTAAAAAGACCCAACTTCCCTGTAGATTGGGTTATCAGTTATTATGAGCTATCATGCACCAGGCAGAACCCCAGTCATGGATGAATTCAGCTTTTGGTCTGTTTCACCTGCAGCAAGACTCTAAGCACGCCACAAAAATTCATGGGGACCAACTTCTCCTGGTCTTTCACCACTGTATCACCCACCTGTTCACAGCAGATGATCTTGATTTCACAGAGAAAATAGAATTGAACTTCCTGCCACAGAATCTGCTGATTCACGCACATCTGCATCCATCCTGTTCCCATCCAGTGCCAGTCATCTGCCTACACACTAGAATCCTCATCTTTTTCAGACTTTTCTCAAGCTGGGGATATAGCTCAGTGGTACAATATGTGCTTAGCATGCAAAAGGCCCTGGGCACCATCCCCAGCACCACAAAGAAAGAAAGAAAGAAAGAATTTTCCCAAAATAACTAAAAGCATAAATTTCAAATGTCTCATCATAAAAAATGATAAGTAAACCAAATGATGGTTATGTTAATTATGTTGTTTAATTATTTCACACTATATACATATTATCAAAAATCACATTGCATTCCTTATATACACATTTATTATCTGTCAATTTAAAATAATAATAAAAAACAAATTGATATATTTGTACCTCAAAAAACATCTTCCATTTTCAATGATGTGTTTTTCATCACTCTCCACTAGATCCTTCCTAAAAGCATTTAAATACCGTACAATTTCTCCATCTTCATAACTATTGGCAGTTCCACATTACCCTCTCCCCCACTTACATTCTCTTTCTTCTCCAGTTTATCACCAACTTAGTAGTCATTTACCCTGCTCCTTTCTCTTCTTTGCCTACCATTCTCTTCTGAACCCATTTCTATTCAGCCTATGTCCCCACTCCTCCATTGACACTCTCCCTGCCAAGGTCACTGTAACATCTGTGTCCCAGAATCTGATGGAGTCTTTTCGAGACTAAAATGGCTTGACCTCTCAACATTATTTAACGTCATAGTAAACTACTCCCTCCTTTTCAAAGTAAATTCTTCTCATGGCTTTCATTATTTCCAACCCTTCTGTCCTTTCTCGGTGTCCTTTTTCTGGGATCTGGTCCTTTTTTTTATTATTATTATTTCCTTTTTTATAAACTTTTTTTAAGTTATAGATGGGCATAATATCTTTTATTATTTATTTATTTTAATGTGGTGCTGAGGATTGAATCCAGTGCCTCACATGTGCTAAGCAGGTGCTCTACCCCAGCCCTGGGATTTGGTTCTTGAATCCCTTCTTTTCTGGAGATGTATATTGGTAAAACTGAAAGCTATTGAGCTAGGACCAGATGCGTATTCTTCAACACAAACATTCCTGTAGGTTTGTGTCCCAGAGACACATTCACATATACATGCAGATAGAAGTTTGTACAATAATGTTTCCTTCAGCCTTGCCCATATCCAACTTTTTTTTTTTTTGCCTCTACATTCTAAATGCATGTGAAGAAGTTCATGATTAAAGGAACTGTAATACCTCCATACTGTGAAAGAGCATGCAACTGTTATACAAAGCAGAGTAGACATATATGTACTAAAGTGGAAGCAGCTTCAAAACATACTGTTGGTAAGAAATGCACCTGCAGAAGATAACTATATAGTATGATTACATCTGTGTAAAAAACAAAAACTAAAACTGTATGTTTATATAAATATGAATGAATAAATAGGAATATGGATATGGAAAAATATGTCCCAAACTGGGTATAGTTGAAGTTATATCTGGAAGGAAATTGCAGTTTGGAGAGGAAACAGTACCAAAGACTACATTGCCTTTGTATTATTGTTGACATTCTTTAGAAAGGGAGTGAATTTGCATTTTGTGAAACCAAAAGCTTAATTTTTTTTTTATCCCATATCTTGTTTTGTTTTTCTGTAGAAGAAAATCCAAAACTTTTGTGCCCTACAATGTTGACCAGAGGGTCCTTTGACCCTTCACTCACTATTCCAGCCACATAAGCTTATATTGATTGCTCAAGTGGGCCAGACTTCTTCCCACCTTAGGTCCTTTATATATGATGTTTTCTCTGCATGGAAGGCTCACCCCATCTCCATTCTTATTCCTGATCCATGTTCTCCATCCATATGCCAGGCCAAGTCCTCATTGTCCTTGAGGAACTTTCCCTGACCTTCCCTTCTCCCATGTCCTGACCACCTTCAGACCAGATCTGGTCCTCTTCCTACCTCTGTTATGTACTTGGTTTTTCTTTCAGGGCCTTTTTCCCCCTACATTTTTATTGGTGCATTACATCTGTTCATAATGGTGGGTTTTCTTATTACATAATTGCACATGAACACAACATAACAATATAATTTGCCCTCGAGGCCTTTATCACAGTTGTCATTAGGCGTGTGAATGCTTAATGTTGTCCCTCTAGACAGGGCCATTGGTGTTGTTTACTGCTGTTCAGACTGCTTCCCCATCAAAACATGGCACATAGTAGGCACTAAGTCTTTTGAATGAATGAATATTGTCTCTCTCGTCTACTGCAAAAGATGCTATTATTATATGAAAGTTCTAAGGAACAGTACAAAATAGTTGACAAATGTATAGAATGAGTATTATTATCATATTCTAGCCATTATATAAACCTCAGTAAACTTTCACTCTTTTTCTGCTGTATATATCAATTGTATATTTTGTTTCTTGTCAAATTATAACTTAAGATTATTATTGTTGTTGTTAATACCATGATGTATGACTGTTGTTTTCTATCCTAAGACTTTAGTTTCATTCTAGTATGTGGTTTATGGGTAAAAATCAAGTTTTAGCACCTTCTTCATGCAAAAGATTATAAAACTGGCTTTTATAATATAAGCATGAGCTGATACTTTTATAATATAAGCATGAGCTGATACTTTGGTTTTGCAGTCCTTATGTTGTCCTTGAGAAGGCAGCATTTTTTTATAATCATAAAAATAACTCTGAAGCAGTTCTAAGAAGTGTTTGAGGGTGTACCCGCCACATCATCTTTTAAGCAGGTACTATTTCTTGAACAGGCAGATGAAGCATATTTTATTGGACCAGCTCCCTGCCAGGAGAGCTACCTCTCTATGGAGAAAATTATTCAAGTGGCCAAGATCTCTGCTGCACAGGTAAGACTTTTGAAAAGATTTACAAGAGGAATAAGTTTTTGTAATTTATGCAAAATTATTTGTCTAAATTATTTTCTATTTTTAGCCAAGACTTTTTCATTTGGTTTTTGGATTGTAAACTAATCACATCTCTTTTTGTTCCTCTTCTTGACTGAATCCTGTGTACTTTAGATCTTTTCAGAAGTAAGTAGAGGGAAGATCTAAACTGTATATAAAAATGGAGAGATATTTCAGCTCTTCTACCTTCAAAATCAGATGCTAAGAGCATCAGATCCTTCAGGAGAATAGATGATACTCTAAATTACAAAGTAAAATATAATCAAAAGAGAAGTCTTTTTCTCCTTGACTTCTAGGTGTCATTGTAGTAACTCACCATCTGTTTTTCCAGTATCCCAGGCTCAGAATTTGGATATTATTACATCTCTTCTTCATCCTTCAAAATGAAATAGGAACCAACTTGTGTTGAATCTTTCTTTGAAATGGCTCCAGACACAGTTATTTTTGATCACATAGCCAGATCTTTTGATCTCTTATCTGGATTTATGAGTCTCAGCTGATTTTCCTACTATTAAATCTGTTATCAATTCAATCAATTCTCCATACTTCCATGTGAACATTTCTTAAATATGGTTCCTTATTATTTTGTTCCTCTCCCCCTGCCCCATTTTAAAAACAACCCCACCCCTTCCCTATCTTATCTATTAGTAAATTTTCCTTGGTTTCAAGATAAAATCCAAACCCTTTAGCATAGCACACAAAAGAGTTTCTGATATTATCCCTTTCTATTTATCAAGACTTTGGGGCTAGGGTATAGCTTAGTGGTAAAGAGGACTTGCTTAGCATATGTGAAGCCCTGGGTTCAATCCCTAGCACTGCAAACAACAACAAAAATCCTAAAAAAAAAAAAACTTGTGTTTTGTCTCCAGTTATTTATAATAACTAATAAACTTGTCCCTCTTCTTTACACATGCTATTTACATGCTATTTCATCTATGCATTTTCTGATATGGTTCTACCTGGCAAGTGTCTCTTCCCCAATTTCCTTTCATCCATGCATTTACTCTCTCAGCCAGCACTGATTGGTTTCCTGTTTTGTGCCAGTTTCTAACCATGGATGCAGCACTAAATAAGATGGAGACAGTTCTATCCCTACAAAGCTATGCTGTAGTGGGTGAAACAGATAATAAACATTTAAACAAATAGAGAATAGAACAAGCAGAGTAATACTTGATGGGAAGAAAGCAAAGCAGAATAAGGAGACAAAGACTGGATGGGAGGTACTTTTAAATAGGATAGTCAGGAGCTGACAATGGAACAAAGACCTAAACAAACCAGGAATGGGGGCCTGAGTCACTGTAATCCCAGGGACTCAGAGGCTGAGGCAGGAGGATGGCAAGTTCGAGTCAGCCTCAGCAATTTAGCAAGGCCTTCAGAAACTTAGTAAGACCCTGTCTCAAAATAAAAAGGGCTGCGGATATGGATAGTGCTTAAGCCCCTGGGTTCAATCCCCAGTACCGAAAAAAAAAAATTCATTTAGGCTGATCAACCTCCTTATTTATCCTTTAAAAAAACTTCATGGGCTGGGGTTATGGCTCAGTGGTAGAGTGCTTGCCTGGCACATATGAGTCACTGGGTTTGAATCTCACACCACATAAAAATAAATAAAATAAAGGTATTGTGTCTATCTACAACTAAAAAAATAAAAATTTAAAAAAAGACAGAAAGAAAACTTGTTAGAGTTGAAAATCCACTCCATTTTTAATGACCATTTTCTGCAACCATTTTAGTTTAAGTTGTAACCCTCTAGAAAATATATGACATGCAGAATTTCTAGAGAATTTATCAATTCTATATCTCTTTTGGTTAGTATTATGTTAGATTCTATAACACAAATATTGAGAAGATAATAGATACTATTTTGAAAAGAATAAAGTTTTTTTTAAAATATCAATTTCACCTGAATATTCAAGATTTGAGATAGATTGCAAAAAGTTACAGATAATGATGAAAATAAATGATAAAAGGACAAATGACCAGTAATATGGGAGAAGGGAAATTGAAATTAAATCAAAAAGCTTAGATCTAGTAAGGATACTTTACATCTTCCTGGCAACCCCAGTAAGAAAAGAAACTTAGTGAGTTAACAAATTATAGAGATTCCCCCTAAAAATGATATTTGCCAATTAGGAGAGGAAATCTTGCCCTAACTCTGATTCTGAAAAAGAAACTTGAGGGTCATTGTAATAACATTGAATAATGCATGTATAGTAATTTGAACAGAATTTTTCAAAATTATAGAGTTGTTCTTAATGTGACCATTTTGATATAGGCACTTTTATAGGAACTAGAGTAAAATTTACACATGAACTAAGTTTCTGCTTTTGTCCAATGACATAGCCCTATTAAGAGATGCTAGCAGAAGGCAAAGATTTTAGGGCAGGTATGTTAGTCAGCTTTCCATTACTACATAACAAATACCCAAGATAATCAACTTATAAAGAAAAAAGTTTTGTTATGGCTCACAGTTTTAGTCCATGATTGGTTGGCCTTGTTGCCCTGGGCAAAATAACATATCATGCTGGGAGTACATGGTAAAGCAAAACTGTTCACCTCATGGCTGGGGAGCAAAAGAGAAAAAGGAAAAGACTAGGCACCACAATCCCCTTTGAGGGCACTCCCTCCCAGTGACCTAAAGACCTCTCATTGTGCCCCACCTCTTACAGTTCCACTACCTTCCAGAGGTTGGGGACCACACCTTTAACAGAAGTTCCCAGTGTTCTGTCCCTATTAATAAAGTCATAAACTTCTTGAGGCTGTTTTGGGATTGCAATTGAACTCTATTTTCACAAGGAAATAGCTGCTTCTCTCTGAAATCTATCTAGTTGATCAAAGGGTGCCATCAAATTAAATATCTGCTAACAATAAAGAGAACAGGCAATGAATATTTCAGAAATGAAATTAAGGAAACAATTAACTTTCATAATAGCATCAGTAAGGATCAAATATGAATCAATAGCACAAACGGTTTAAGACCTACATACTAAAAATTTGTAAGTCTCTAATAAAACGTTGCTGAAAGAAGAAGTTCTAAATGAATAGATATATCACTGGAAGACTCACTATTGGTAAGATGGCAATTCTTTCCAAATTAATCTGCATATTTAATTCATTCTTTTTTATTTTTGTTTTTGGTACCCTTTTGACACTAAGCAAGCACACCACCACTTAGCTACATCCCCAGCCTTCTTTAAATATTATTTTGAGGGCTAGGGATATAGCTTAGTTGGTAGAGTGCTTGCCGCGCATGCACAAAACCATGGGTTCAATCCCCAATACCATACACACGAAAAAAAAAATTATTTTGAAACAGGGTCTTTTTGCTAAGTTGCCCAGGCTGGTAACTTATGATTCAACTGCCTCAGCTCCCCAACAGCTGGGAATATAGGCATACACCATTGCACCTGGCTTAATTCATTCTTTATCAAAATCCCAACAAGGTTTTTGGAGAAATTGGTAAGTCAATCCTAAGATAGCCTAGTTGTACTGGCTAAAACAATTTTAGCTTTACTAGCTAAAACAATTTTGAAAATACTAACAAATTTATGCCAATCAAAAGCAAAACTGCAATCAAGACAGAGTGTTATTAGTTTTAGGATAAATATATAGGTCAGTGGTGCAGAATATACAGTCCAAAATTAAACACACACATACACATATACATACACTAAATATTAAAATGAATGAATGAAATGTACAGATTAATATGGAAAGAATTGTCATCTTACCAATAGTGAGTCTTACAATGATATATCTACTTATTTAGAAACTTCATATGTATATATATGTGTGTGTGTATATATATATATATATATATATATATAAAGTCATAGACTTCTTGAGGCTGTTTTGGGATTGCAATTGAATGATATATATATAGATATAGATAGATAGATACAGATATATAGATATGCACAGACATATATATATGAATATCTGTTTGCAAAAAAAGGTGAACCTAAAGTCTAGATCTTAGAGCCTTGTCTCACACCTTACACACACAAAAAAATAACTTGAAATGTTTTATGGACCTAAATGTTAGAGCTAAAACTAAAAAACACTTCTAGGAGAAAACCTTTGAGGCCTTCGGTTAAGCAAAAATTTCTTTCTCTAAATAAAATACCCAAAAAAGGCTGGGGATCCGCCTCAGTGGTTAAGTGCCCCAGAGTTTAATTCTTGGTACAAAAAAAAAAAAAAAAAAAAACAGAATGAACTTTGGAAACATTATGTTCAATAAATGAAGGCAGTCACAAAAGACTGTGAATTTTGTGATTCCATTTATATGAAATGTCCATGATTAATCAAATCTATAGAGATAGGAAGATTAGTGGTAACCTACAACTGGGAGGGAAGGCTGCTGAAAGGCATGGGTTTCTTTTTGAATTGGTGAAAATTTGCATAATTTGATTTTACTCAGTATCTTAGATTACAGTGATGATTGCACAACTCTGTGAAGATATTGGATTGGTTGAGTTTTACGGCATATGAGTTATATATTAATAATAATGGTTTAAAAAGCACAGTACAGCATTTTCTTTATCTATTCATTTGTTGAAGGACATCTGGCTTGGTTCATAGTTTAGTTATTGTGAATTGAGCTGCTATAAACATTGATTGGCTGTGTCACTGTAGTAGGCTGATTTTAAGTCCTTTGGGTATAAACCAAGGAGCAGTATAGCTGGGTCAAATGGTGGTTCCATTCCAAGTTTTCTGAGGAATCTCCATACTGCTTTCCTATAATTAATTAAAACAAATTAAAATAATTTTTTTAAACTGCTGTACCACTACATATCCACTAGAATGGCTAACACCAAAAAAGACTGACAATATAATGTGTTGGTAAGGATGTAGAGAAACTTGGAATCATCCTACATTGCTAGTGAATACAAAAATAGTACAACTGCTTTGGCTGTTTCTTTAAAAGTTAAATATAGGACTGGGGCTGTAGCTCAACAATAGAGCATTTGGCTAGCACGTATGAGGCATTGTGTTCTATCCTCAGCACCACATAAAAATAAATAAATAAAATAAAGGTACTGTGTCTATATACAACTAAAAATTATTTTTTTAAAAAAAAAGTTAACTAAGGGCTGGGATTGTGGCTCAGGTATAGAGTGCCTGCCTAACACGTCCAAGGCCCTGGGTTCAATCCTCAGCACCACATAAAAATACATAAAATAAAGGTATTGTGTTCAACTACAACTAAAAATAAATATTTTTTAAAAAGAAGTTAACTAGGGCTGGGGATGTGGCTCAAGCGGTAGCACGCTCGCCTGGCATGCGTGCGGCCCGGGTTCGATCCTCAGCACCACATACAAACAAAGATGTTGTGTCCACTGAAAACTAAAAAAATAAAATAAATATTTAAAAAAAAAAAAAAGAAGTTAACTATATAATTACTGTAGATGACCCAACAATTGTACTCATGAATATTTACCCAAAAGAAATGAAAAAAAAAAAAATGCTTACAAAAACTTATATAGGTATATTTATAGCAACATTATTCATAATAACCCCAAACTGGAAAAATATCCAAATAAATAATGTGATACATTCATGCAGTAGAATCTATACTATAAAAAGGAATGAGCTACTGACACATATGACAATATGAAATAATGCTATATGAAATAATGACATAGTCTGGTGGTGGTGCACACTTGTAATCCCAATACTCTGCTCAAGAGGCTGAGGCAGCCTCCGCAATTTCATGAGGCACTAAGCAACTTAATGAGACCCTATCTTTAAATAAAATATAAAAAAGGGCTAGGGATATGGCTCAGTGGTTAAATGTCCCTGGGTTCAATCCCTGGTACCAAAAAAAAAAAAAAATCCAGACACACATAAAACTGTGTCTTTATATAAAATTTTTTTACATATAAAAAATTTGCATATAAAATTACAGAAACAGAAGGCAGGAGAGTAGTTGCTTGGGTCCTGAGAACAGGGATTGACTGTATTTGGGCATGTGGGAGTGTTTTCAAATGATGAAAGTATTCTAAAACTAGATTATAGTGACAGTTGCACAGTTGTATAAATTTACCAAATTCATCAACCTGTAAGTAGGTGAGTGTTATGTTTTATAAATCAAAAACCAAAACAACCGGGCTGGGGTTGTAGCTCAGTGGTAGAGCACTTGAACACTAAAACTGAACTTTTTGAGACTCTAAACTATCTGTAAAATGTGATCATCCAGCATTATCAGTAACTAGATTTTGTTGTTTGCTGCTAGAGGATGTGGGTTATTCTATTTGTATGAATTTCCCAGACAGCTGGAGCTTACCCCTTTAATTTGAAATTCTCTTTGTACATAACTATTTTGAAATCGGGTTGGCTAAGCTGTTTTTCTTTTTGCATTCTCTTGACTATAATTACAATACATCCTTATTACTTTTGAAAAACAAATATGCCCTGGCTACTGATGTTGGAGAGAGTTGCTTCATCCTTTACTAAATCACCCACGCCTCTTCCTTTTGGCTGACTTGTGTTTCCTCTGTTTGCTGTCAGCGTGTTTACTCTTAGAAATCTTGCTACTCTCAGTTACTGATTTTCCTTTCTATCTGCTAGAAAGCCAGACAAGTAAACCTAATAAAATTCTTAGTAAATTAGAAGTGAGTAGACTAAAGTCTGAGGGATTCCTCTTTCACTAACATACATAAACACTCTACTACCTGACTTTTTGCTTGCTTTTTAGCGTATTTCAGAAAGATAACATTGACAGATAGTAACCTGAGGATTATGAGGTATTAATGTCTAGTGCACTCTTTCTAGCTTTTGGATATTGTGGTTTCAATTCTAGGGCAATTGTACACAGAGACAGAGTAAACAAAAGCCTCTCACCCTGTGCTTCTTGACATTCTTCTCTAATAGTATTATTCTTTTTTCTTTTTTCTGCAATATGGGAGATTGAACCTAGGGGCACTTTACCACTGAGCTACATCCCTAGTTCTTTTTATGTTTTATTTTGAGACCTTCCAAATTGCTGGGGTTACAGGCTTGTGCCATCAGATCGGCCCTAATAGCATTATTTTTTTTAATTAAAATATAGATTCTTCTGTGCCATCTGATCCAGAAATCCCACTTCTAGGTATAAACCTAAAAGAATTAAAAGCAGAGACTCAAACAGATACTTATATACCAACACTTATAGCAGCATTATTCACAATAGCTAAAAGGCAGAAGTAACCCACATATCCATCAACAGATGAATGGGTAAGCAAAATGTGGAATATACATACAGTGCAATATTATTAAAAAGAATAAAATTATTATTAAAAAGAATAAAATTCTGATACATGCTACAATATGGATGAACTTTGAAAACATTATGGTAAATGAAGTAAGTCAGACCCAGAGGGACAAATATCATACAATTCCATTTAAGCAAGGTACATAGACAAACTCATAGAAAGTAAAATAGAACTTACCAGGGACTGGGGGGGTGAAGGGAATGGAAATTTTGTTTGTAATCATGAAGACATTCTGGAGATGAATGTTGATGGTTGTAAGACATTGTAAATATATGCCACTGAATCCTGTACTTTAAAAAGTGATTAAAAGTGGAAAATTTTAAGTTATGTATATATTACTACACTTTTTTAAAATGACAAGAACTGGGAATGTAGCTTAGAGGTAATTTCATTTGCTTGGTATGCAGACCCTGTTTTCAATCCCCCACACACACACACACACAAAAAGTAGATTCTTCTGGCTTAGATGAGGCTTCTGAACTAAGTTTGCATGTTCCAGACATCTCTTGGGAAGCAGATTTTGATAGAGACCACAGTGTGCCTGTGGCAGTGTATGGAGAAGCCTCCCTAGAGAAGCATAGCTTCACCTGCATCAAAGCTTTGCCAATTGAGAACTAGCTAACAGGTTTGTCATTTTATTTCTCACTTCTAGGCTATCCATCCAGGATATGGTTTTCTTTCTGAAAATGTGGAATTTGCTGAACTTTGTAAGCAAGAAGGAATTATTTTTATCGGTCCTCCTTCATCTGCAATTAGAGACATGGGTATAAAAAGGTACAAATTGATATCTTTTTAAATATAACCATAGAAAGTTCAATTGAAAGTTTCCTTTACCTATACTTGTGTTTTAATTATATGCTTTTTGGTCATAGTCATAAATAATTTATTCACAATGTAAGAAAATTACATTGAGTTATAGAAATATTCAAATAATCACTGTTTCTAATCAATATATTAATTAGTTTTTTGAACAAAAATAAGGTGTGATAAGCTACTACACAAAATGAGGAAACGTAACTAATAGGCATTTTAGTTTATGTATCAATATTTGTTTTCTCACACTGTAGTCCTTCCTTTACCTATAGCATGCTTTTTAAAAAGAGTTCCATTATAACATTTGTGGTTCTTATGAAAGATTTATAGAATTGGGGCATCTTGGTGTTCTTACTCTAAAGCACATCCAAATCCATAATGGCTGCTGCCGGAGTGCCTATTGTGGAAGGTTATCATGGTGAGGACCAGTCTGACCAGTGCCTGAAAGAACACGCTGGGAGAATTGGTTATCCCGTCATGGTTAAAGCTGTCCGCGGTGGAGGAGGAAAAGTAAGGCTGTGGATGCGTGTCTTTGCCATTTCAGGATAGTCTTCTTTGTTTAATTATGTCAGAGTCATAGCTATCTTTTCCTTTTTTAGGGCATGAGGATCATTAGATCAGAAAAAGAATTTCAAGAGCAGTTAGAATCAGCACGAAGAGAAGCTAACAAGTCTTTTAATGATGACGCTATGCTGATTGAGAAGTTTGTGGACACGCCAAGGTGGGCTGAGCTTTTTTTTCTGACTCAGATTTTTTTAATTAAATTATAAAATTAAGGGGCTGGGGTTATAGTCCAGTGGTAGAGCGCTTGCCTCACACATGTGATGCACTGGGTTTGTTTAATTCTGAGCATCACATAAAAATAAATAAAATAACTAAAGATATTGTGCCCATCTTAAAAAAAAAAATAAATTATAAAGTTAATACATTCTGTAATATATAAAATTATAATAGTAAATGAGTCCAGGAAGTTCTCCAGTCCCAACTCTGACGTAACCACTGAGTAGAACTTATGCATATATATGCATAAAAAAACTACATACAAAGAATAATGAACAAAATCTTGTGTAATATTACATAAAGTAATATTATATCATATCATATACTAATACATTATAGGCCTCTTTCCATGTCATTAAATGTAGATCACCTCATTCTTTTTAATGGTGGCTTAATGGTTCCATGATATTGATGTATCAGTAATTCATTCAGTAAATTTCTTAGTGGTAGAATTTAGAGTTTTTTAATATTAAAAAAATTATTGTAATAGATTAAGCTATATTTACAGAACTTTATGAGCATCAGTTGAGGTAGAGACAATTATCCAGATTGAACTGTGTTAAGTTAATAATAATGCTAGCAGCTAACATTTATATGGTATTTATCATGTGCCAGATTTTAAGTATTTTATATATACTAAGTATTTGCTGTTTTTCTAATTCTAATGACAGCCTCAATAAAATGCTGAGGCTGGCCTCAAACTTGCAATCCTCCTGACTCAGCTTCCCAAGTTGCTTGGGTTATAGGCATGCGCCACTACACCTGGCTGAAATTCTGTTTTTATGTCTGTTATTTAAAATAAGATACTGATTTTAAAGTTTTCTATTTAATAAATTTTTATGGCAATTTTTAAAAATAAATATGACCTGCAAGTGGAATGAAAAGAATAATCCATTTGGAAGCCATGACCAGAAAGACAATTACCTTGAAGTTAATGAACTTGAAGCTTTAGATTCTTCTTTTGGATGAGCCTCTTCCAGCACACCCTACCTAATTATGGATTTGTCATTTTACCTTCTTTTCCTGAAAGAGGGCCCCAAATTATTTTTGTTTCAGGCTCTGTAAAACATGGAACTATACCTGAGCACAACACAGTAAATGAAATTTAATTATCATTTGATAGTTAAAAAAAAATAGGAGATCACAGCATATGCCACTTCTTGGTAGGAAATAAGGCAAAAAAGAAGGAGGTCCTAAGGTAAATTAAAAGTTTCCTTCTGCAAGGAACAGGCTAGCCATCCAAATTAGCATGCTCTTGAGTTAAGAGTTATAGAAGCATGAAATATCTATCTCAATAACTATAACTCAATGCCTACATTATTTTTTTTTCTTGAAGCTGTAAATTCTTTACTTGTGGAATGTTAGCCATACAATGCCTCACATTATAATTTATTCTCCCAGTAGCTTGAAAATTCCTGGGAATGAACAACCTGGTGATATATAGCATTTTATTTTCTTGTATGTGTTGCTTGGCATACTACGTTCCTCATAATAGTTATTGTTTTATGTTTTTTAAATATAGAAGTAATATGAATACATTTTTAAAACTTCTAGAAAATACAGGAGATAAATAAAATACCTTGTAATCTTATTCTCCTAATATAAATATTAGCATTTCTGTTCTATAATTTGTAGCAGTAACAATGGAATATTATAATCATACTATATATGTACATATACTGCTAAATAATTACCTATTGAACTAACAGAGTGCCTGAAGCTGATCAGGGTGATGCTGACACCTGAGAAAAGTGTCATCAGAACTGTGAAGCTTATTGAGAGACTGGGATAGGAAACCATCTTCAAAGTATATTTTGAAGGTATAAAAGTATATATATTTTAAGGGGAAAAAAAAATCACATTTCTAGCCGGGCACAATGGCTCACTCCTGTAATTCCAGTGGCTCGGGAGGCTAAGGCAGGAGGATTGTGAGTTCAAAGCTAGCCTCAGCAAAAGTGAGGCACTAAGCAACTCAGTGAGATTGTCTCTAAATAAAATACAAAATAGAGCTGGGGATGTGACTCTGTGGTCGAGTGTCCCTGAGTTCAATTCCCAGTTAAAAAAAAAAAAAAAGAAATCACATTTATTCCTCAATTTGCATTCAATTCAAATTTAAAATGGTGGATTAAAAATATAAATAAGAGGGGCTGGGGTTATAGCTCAGTGGTAGAGTCCTTACCTAGCATGGGTGAGGAACTGGGTTTGATCCTCAGCACCACATAAAAACAAATAAATAAGTTAAATTCTTTTAAAAAAATTATATATATATATATATATATATATATATATATGAAAATTAAAATTTAAGGCACTCCTGATAGAATCAGCCAGACTCAACAGTGGCTGAATTGGAGCCACTGGAATTTAATGCACCTCCTGGTTCTCAACTACTTCTAAACACTATGTTCCAGAACCACCAAGTATATAAAGCAATACAGAAAAGGGTCCATCAGAAAAAGGAAAAACAAATGATTGGGTGACTACAGAAATCACAACAGAGAACCCAATCTTTCTTTCTTTTTTTTTTAATATTTATTTTTTAGTTTTAGGTGGACACAATATCTTTATTTCACATTTATGTGGTTCTGAGGATCGTACCCAGTGCCTCATACATGGTAGGCGAGCAGTCTACCACTGAGCCACAACCCCAGCCCAAGAACCCAATCTTTCTTGAGCTTCCTTTATATATTAAGTAGCCAAAGATAAGGTGTTTCCATCTTCTGACAATGCAGAAAAGAGCTGCTATGTGTCCGTTGTATGGCCCCCGTGTGTTCCCTCATGGCCTGGAGTTCCTGCTGTAGTGTTTCCTTCCCTGTAACAGCTAAAAGATGAGGAAGAATCAGTGGAAGTGTAGAATTTACAATTGGAAATTGACAAATGGTTCAGCTCCAAAATGTAAAGAGCTTAGAGGTCATTGCTTCCATCCAGAAAGCAAGGGAAAAACTGAACAAAACTAGGGATAAGCAACATTTAGATCACTAGAGAATACATGCCACGGAGCACCCCAACACTCTGAAATCTGGACAGGCTGTGAATTCAGTGCAGCACAGCTGAGATCAACCTTGAAGCAAAAGCTTCTGGAGCTCAACACATAATGGGAATTTTGCCAAATGACTGGAGGCTGAGTGTGGACTAGCCTGAAAGAGAGAGACCCCGTGGGGCACAGATTCAGGTTCTATTCCACTTTCATGGAATATTCCACTTTAACTCCTAGAACTCCATTAAATTCTCACAGTGAAAATCCAAGGAAAATTTCCTTATGATTTGAGACAGTGGGAAGAAGGAAAGTAACTATTTTGAAATAGACTCAGGGCATTCTGTTCTTCCTAACAAAAGGACTCCTAACTCCCAGGAAAATGTTGCCAGAGCCTCTTCTGTCCTGGGGGAATGACAGCTAGTCAGCTCTAACTCCTCTAGCCCTTCTGTTTCACATAAGGGAAGAAAATTTTAAAAAGGCTAAGAAACAGTTCTGAAAGTCTCAACACAAACACAGGCCCACTAAAAGACCATCTCATCATAAGATTTATAGATTGTTTTCCTCCCCCACACCCTACTACCACATTGCTATGGTCTGAATGTTTATGTCCCTCTGAAATTTTTATGTTGAAACCTGACTCCCAAATGATGGTGTTCAGACCTGTGGACTCTAGAAGGTGATTATCCCATGAAGGAATTATTGCCCTTCTAGAAGGCTTGAGAGAAACCATTTGCCTCTTCTCTCTTCTGCCATATGAGGACACTGTAACAAGTCACCATTTATGAGGAAGAGGCCCTCACCAAACACTGAATCTGCTAGCACATCAATCTTGGACTTTCTCTCCTCTACAACTGTAAGAAATACATTTCTGCTATTTATAAATTGCCTAGTCTAAGATATTTTGTTAGAGCAGCCAGAACAGACTAAGACACATGTCACCAGGGCTCCAGGACAGTAACAGTCAATTATAATTGAAGGAGCTATAAAATGCAGGCTCTAATTAAGAAGGTTTGGGGTTTGCCAGAAACAGTAAAGGAAAAAAAAAAAAATGAAACAAGAACACTAGAAGAAACTGAAACTTCTGGTATAATCTACAGCCACTACAAACGTTAAACACAGCCTACTTCCTAACCATTTTAGTGAAAGACGTCACTAAAGTTCTCTTTACCTCAAATATTATTACCTGATATATCATGTCCTTCTTTATTTATTTATTTTGTGTGTGTGATACTGGGGGTTGAACCCAGGACCTTGTGCATATGAGGCAAGCACTCTACCAACTGAGCTACATCATACTTTTTTTTTTATTTTTTTATTTTTTATTTTTTTTAATTTTTTATTGTTGGTTGTTCAAAACATTACAAATTTCTTGATATATCATATTTCACACTTTGATTCAAGTGGGTTATGAACTCCCATTTTTACCCCATATACAGATTGCAGAATCACATCAGTTACACATCCATTGATTTACGTATTGCCATACTAGTGTCTGTTGTGTTCTGCTGCCTTTCCTATCCTCTACTATCCCCCCTCCCCTCCCCTCCCCTCCCCTCTTCTCTCTCTACCCCCTCTACTGTCAATCATTTCTCCCCCTTGTATTATTTTTCCCTTTCACCTCACTTCCTCTTGTATGTACTTTTGTATAACCCTGAGGGTCTCCTTCCATTTCCATGCAATTTCCCTTCTCTCTCCCTTTCCCTCCCACCTCTCATCCCTGTTTAATGTTAATCTTCTTCTCCTGCTCTTCGTCCCTACTCTGTTCTTAGTTACTCTCCTTATATCAAAGAAGACATTTGGCATTTGTTTTTTAGGGATTGGCTAGCTTCACTTAGCATAATCTGCTCTAATGCCATCCATTTCCCTGCAAATTCTATGATTTTGTCATTTTTTAATGCAGAGTAATACTCCATTGTGTATAAATGCCACATTTTTTTTATCCATTCGTCTATTGAAGGGCATCTAGGTTGGTTCCACAGTCTTGCTATTGTGAATTGTGCTGCTATGAACATCGATGTAGCAGTGTCCCTGTAGCATGCTCTTTTTAGGTCTTTAGGGAATAGACCGAGAAGGGGAATAGCTGGGTCAAATGGTGGCTCCATTCCCAGCTTTCCAAGAAATCTCCATACTGCTTTCCAAATTGGCTGCACCAATTTGCAGTCCCACCAGCAATGTACAAGTGTACCCTTTTCCCCACATCCTCGCCAGCACTTGTTGTTGTTTGACTTCATAATGGCTGCCAATCTTACTGGAGTGAGATGGTATCTTAGGGTGGTTTTGATTTGCATTTCTCTGACTGCTAGAGATGGTGAGCATTTTTTCATGTACTTGTTGATTGACTGTATGTCCTCCTCTGAGAAGTGTCTGTTCAGGTCCTTGGCCCATTTGTTGATTGGGTTGTTTGTTCTCTTATTGTCTAATTTTTGGAGTTCTTTGTATACTCTGGATATTAGGGCTCTATCTGAAGTGTGAGGAGTAAAGATTTGTTCCCAGGGTGTAGGCTCCCTATTTACCTCTCTTATTGTTTCTTTTGCTGAGAAAAAACTTTTTAGTTTGAGTAAGTCCCATTTGTTGATTCTAGTTATTAACTTTTGTGCTATGGGTGTCCTATTGAGGAATTTGGAGCCCGACCCCACCATATGTAGATCATAGCCAACTTTTTCTTCTATCAGACGGCGTGTCTCTGATTTGATATCAAGCTCCTTGATCCATTTTGAATTCACTTTTGTGCATGGCGAGAGAAAGGGATTCAGTTTCATTTTGTTGCATATGGATTTCCAGTTTTCCCAGCACCATTTGTTGAAGATGCTATCCTTCCTCCATTGCATGCTTTTAGCCCCTTTATCAAATATAAGATAGTTGTAGTTTTGTGGATTGGTTTCTGTGTCCTCTATTCTGTACCATTGGTCCACCCGCCTGTTTTGGTACCAGTACCATGCTGTTTTTGTTACTATTGCTCTGTAGTATAGTTTGAAGTCTGGTATCGCTATACCGCCTGATTCACACTTCCTGCTTAGCACTGTTTTTGCTATTCTGGGTCTTTTATTTTTCCATATGAATTTCATGATTGCTTTCTCTATTTCCTACAAGAAATGCCATTGGGATTTTGATTGGCATTGCATTAAACCTATAGAGAACTTTTGGTAATATCGTCATTTTGATGATGTTAGTTCTGCCTATCCATGAACAGGGTATATTTTTCCATCTTCTAAGATCTTCTTCTATTTCTCTCTTTAGGGTTCTGTAGTTTTCATTGTATAAGTCTTTCACCTCTTTTGTTAGGTTGATTCCCAAGTATTTTATTTTTTTTGAAGATATTGTGAATGGAGTGGTTGTCCTCATTTCCATTTCAGAGGATTTGTCGCTGATATACAGAAATGCCTTTGATTTATGCGTGTTGATTTATATCCTGCCACTTTGCTGAATTCATTTATTAGTTCTAGTAGTTTTTTTGTAGACCCTTTTGGGTCTTCTAGGTATAGAATCATGTCATCTGCAAATAGTGATAATTTAAGTTCTTCCTTTCCTATTTTTATGCCTTTAATTTCTTTCGTCTGTCTAATTGCTCTGGCCAGTGTTTCAAGAACTATATTGAATAGAAGTGGTGATAGAGGGCATCCCTGTCTTGTTCCAGATTTTAGGGGGAATGCCTTCAATTTTTCTCCATTGAGAATGATGCTAGCCTGAGGCTTAGCATAGATAGCTTTTACAATGTCGAGGTAAGTTCCTGTTATCCCTAGTTTTTCTAATGTTTTGAACATAAAGGGATGCTGTACTTTGTCGAATGCTTTTTCCGCATCTATCGAGATGATCATATGGTTCTTATTTTTAAGTCTATTGATGTGGTGAATAACATTTATTGATTTCCGTATATGGAACCAGCCTTGCATCCCAGGGATGAATCCTACTTGATCATGGTGCACAATTTTTTTGATATGTTTTTGTATCCGATTTGCCAGAATTTTATTGATGATTTTTGCATCTAGGTTCATTAGAGATATTGGTCTGTAGTTTTCTTTCTTTGATGTGTCTTTGTCTGGTTTAGGTATCAGGGTGATGTTGGCCTCGTAGAATGAATTTGGAAGTTCTCCCTCTTTTTCTATTTCCTGAAGTAGCTTGAAAAGTATTGGTATTAGTTCCTCTTTAAAGGTTTTGTAAAACTCTGCTGTATACCCATCCGGTCCTGGGCTTTTCTTAGTTGGTAGTCTTTTGATGGTTTCTTCTATTTCCTCAATTGATATTGGTCTGTTTAGGTTGTCTATATCCTCCTGACTCAATCTGGGCAGATCATATGACTTAAGAAATTTATCTATGCCTTCACTATTTTCTAATTTATTGGAGTATAAGGATTCAAAATAATTTTTGATTATCTTCTGTATTTCTGAAGTGTCTGTTGTGATATTGCCTTTTTCATCCCGTATGCTAGTAATTTGAGTTCTCTCTCTTCTTCTCTTCGCTAGCATGGCTAAGGGTCTGTCGATTTTGTTTATTTTTTCAAAGAACCAACTTTTAGTTTTGTCAATTTTTTCAATTGTTTCTTTTGTTTCGATTTCATTAATTTCAGCTCTGATTTTAATTATTTCTTGCCTTCTACTTCTTTTGCTGTTGTTTTGCTCTTCTTTTTCTAGGATTTTGAGATGAAGTATGAGATCATTTATTTGTTGGTTTTTTTCTTTTTTTAAGGAATGAACTCCAAGCAATGAATTTTCCTCTTAGAACTGCTTTCAATGTGTCCCATAGATTCCGATATGTTGTGTCTGTGTTTTCATTTATCTCTAAGAATTTTTTAATTTCCTCCTTGATGTTTTCTATAACCCATTGATCATTCAGTAACCTATTGTTCATTCTCCAAGTGATGTATGCTTTTTCCTTCCTTCTTTTATCGTTGATTTTCAGTTTCATTCCATTATGATCCACCCTTATTTTTAGTCTCCTCTATTTTTAGTCTTTTTCTTATTTGCCAGTCATTTCATATATGTAAATATTTTCTCTTTAGTGTTTATCATGCAATTGGCAACTTTTTCATTGATTTTCTTTTTTTTTTTTATTCTTTTTTTTTTTAAAGAGAGAGAGAATTTTTTAATATTTATTTTTTAGTTTCCGGCGGACACAACAGCTTTGTTTGTATGTGGTGCTGAGGATCAAACCCAGGCCGCACGCATTGCCAGGCGAGCGACTACTGCTTGAGCCACATCCCCAGCCCCTTCATTGATTTTCTTGAGATTGTAATTCTGTTTATAAATCCATAACCTCTATTCTAAGGTCAAAAATTAACTTTTTCTTAAAGAAAGTAAAAAGGAATCCTGGTCACTGTGGCCAACAGTGTTAATTAATGTAATATTTGTCACCCTTAAAGTATGTGTGTGTTTGCTTTTAAATAGGCATGTAGAAGTCCAGGTTTTTGGAGATCATCATGGCAATGCAGTGTACTTGTTTGAAAGAGACTGTAGTGTGCAGAGGCGACATCAGAAGATCATTGAGGAGGCCCCAGCGGTAAGGATGTTGAAAGGAAGTTAGAAACTTCTCCATAATGTAAATCTTACTTTACATCAGAAATCTGTGAAGCTAGTGACTCCTACCCCTCCAAGTCCTGCTGGATGACAGCTTCCCAGCATGATGTAATGATAGGGTCTCACTGCTGATGAAGAGGGCATTAGTGACCTGGGCTAGCTACATACAATGAGCCATGTTCCTTCTAGGTGGAATCTGGAAAAATCTACTATGATCCAAGTATCTGACTTAGAGTAAGCTAAATAGTGAGGTTTCGGAGCACATTTTAAATTGTAATTAACTAGATTTATTACAGCAATAGAATGGAAAGGTCTGGTTAATTGAATGTGTTTTTTATAGGGAACATTTTTAGCAACTCTTTTGGATGTTCCTAAGATATATTAGCCATCTTCCTACCATAAAGAGGAGGAAAGAGGGCCAACTCCTTTGCTCCCTAAAATTAATTTTTTTTACATCTTTTCAAGTCTTGTTCTTAATGGGTTTAGGTTGTTGTTTGGGTTAAGACCAACTGTGAGGACCATGTACTTTTGGATTTATATTTATTTTTGTCCTGCTGCTGCCTTGGGTTAGATACATTTTTTTGTTGTTGTTTTTATTTTTTTGTTTGTTTTGTTTTGTTTTGTTTTTCAATATGTATTTCCAAAAGTCAGGAATGTGAGATTTCTAGTTAATCAATGTAATTTCTGTTGCAGAGTATATTAGACCATTTGAAGTATATGTCAACAATAATTTCAGTAAAGCAGTGACTGCTTAAATGTATACCTATAGAGCACTGTTTTAAAATATTAAAAAACTTTGCTTACTTACTGATAATATATTTCATTTTGTGAATCTTGTTTATTAGTTTGGAATCTTAAGGTTTCCTCTTATTTCAAGAAATCATTAGGCTCATGATTCAGATTACTCTGCCATTCTGAAGTCATATGAGAGTCATTGAAAGTTTTCATTTTAATACTTAAAATCTTTCATGTAGTTATAAAAGTTATTCTGTACATGCAAGGCATAAAGGTAAGCAAATATGCTGAGTAATACCTGAGATTCATAGAAATCACTAGCAGAACTATTAACTTTTGGTATAATGACAGTTAAACTGGTACAGTGTTTCTTGAGGCAGTATATAACATTAGCTTTTTATCTTTATCTTTTTAATATAGTTATTTGATACCTAAAATATAATACTACATTTTAGTGGAACTTCCAGTAAGTAAAGGTACTAAAAAATATATTTTTTTCATAGCCTGGTATTAAACCTGAAGTAAGACAAAAACTGGGAGAAGCTGCAGTCAGAGCTGCTAAAGCTGTAAATTATGTTGGAGCAGGTATGTTAACCAAAGAGTCAAAAGTAATTTATTTTTGTATCAGTAGGAAAGAGAAACATAATATTTAAATCAGTGGTTTCAAGCTTCTTTGACAATATCCACAGGAAGAAATACACTTTAGGGCTGGGGACATAGCTCAGTTGGTAGGGTGTTTGCCTCATATGCAAAAAGCCCTGGGTTCAATCCCCAGCACCACCAAAAAAAAAAAAAAAAAAAAAAACATTTTATATTGAGACCCAGTGTGCACACATAGGTGATTGTGATTGAATACATATATTTGAAACAAACATTTCACTAATCATTACTTGTCCTGATTATATATGGTAAGTTTTGATATTTTCTGTTCTATTTTTTAATTATTTTTATATATCTTTATTTATTTTTTATTTTTATGTGGTGCTGAGGGATAAAACCCAGTGCATCACATGTGCTAGGCAAGTGCTCTACCACTGAACCACAACCCCAGCCCTTCTATTCTATTGTTTTTTTAATATTTTTTAATTGTTGATACTTATTTTATTTATTTATTTATTTATTTATTTATTTATTTATGTTGCTGAGAACCAAACACAGTGCTTCACACATGCCAGGAAGTGTGCTACCGCTGAGCCACAGCCCCAGACCTCTAGTCTATTTTTAAATGAAATTACTGACTTCGTTTTTTGCTCTTTTTGGGGGGGAGGCGGGGGGGTACTGGGGATTGAACTCAGGGCCACTTGACCACTGAACCATATGGCCAGCCCTATTTTGTATTTTATTTAGAGACAGGGTCTCACTGAGTTGCTTAGTGCCTTGCCATTGCTGAAGCTGGCTTTGAACCCAAGGTCCTCCTGTCTCAGCCTCTTGAGGCGTTGGGATTACAAGCACATGCCACCATACCTGGTGCCATTTTTTGCTTTTTTAAAATAAACTTAGAGTAATTTTTTGGTTTGGGATTGTTGTTGTTTTGTTTTGTTTTGTTTCATTATTGCATTGCTATGGATTTAACCCAAGGCCTCATGCATGCTAGGCTGAGCTACATTCCCCAACCCTTTAGAGCAGTTTAAGTTCACAGCAAAATTGAATAGAAAGTCACAGAGTTGGGGCTGGGGATGTGGCTCAAGCGGTAGCGCACTTGCCTGGCATGTGTGCGGCCCGGGTTCGATCTTCAGCACCACATACAAACAAAGATGTTGTGTCCGCCGATAACTAAAAAAATAATAAATATTAAAAAATTTAAAAAAAGAAAAAAAAAGTCACAGCGTCCTCATATATTCCTACACTTAAATTAAAGTTTGTTGTTTAAAATATCACCTTAATAAATATAAGGGAAGCTTGCCTAGCATGTTCGAGGCCCTGGATTTGATCCCCAACACTGCAGGGAAAAAAAGCGGGGGAGGGTATTATAGGTCTTTATAGAGTGCTGATAGATAAAACATTAATATATGGCTTAGTTGCTAGACCACCTTTCAGTGTGTCATCTGCAAAAGGAAACTTCCAAGTAACTTCCACAATCAGGGGGGAAAATGTGTTTTTCTCCAGAGAGTTGGAATGAGGTGGGATGTCCTGGCATGAGGTTCTGAGGATCTTGGTGCTCTAGTGCAGTAACACATGGTCCAATCATGCTCTCACTGCAACAGCTGAAACTGATTCATAATTTAGGCACAGCCCCAAATATACTTTTCCATTGCTAAATCTTACGCAGCTCCCTATTTTAACTGACATTCATTTGCTGCTGCAAAATGTGAGATGTTTTCTTCATTAAATGCAAAATGTTTACCATTAAATGGAGACATCCATAAGACTTGATTTGCTACTGATTTTTTATCTTCTAGGCACTGTGGAATTTATTATGGACTCAAAACACAATTTCTACTTCATGGAGATGAATACAAGGCTTCAAGTGGAACATCCTGTTACAGAGATGATCACAGGAACTGACTTGGTGGAATGGCAGCTTAGGGTGAGAATATTTTTTCTTTTTCTTTTTTTTTTTTTAAAGAAAGAGTGGGAGAGAGAGGGAGAGAGAGAGAGAGAGAGAGAGAGAGAGAGAGAGAGAGAGAGAGAATTTTTTGATATCTATTTTTTAATTCTCGGCGGACACAACATCTTTGTTTGTATGTGGTGCTGAGGATCGAACCCGGGCCGCACGCATGCCAGGTGAGCGCGCTACTGCTTGAGCCATATCCCCAGCCCCATGAGAATATTTTTTCTATTGAAGATTATTCTTGAAGGAGTGAGCATGCCATTCAGTGGTAGAACACCTGTCTAGCATGCATGAGGCCCAGGACTTGACCCCTGGCAACACATATATTATAATAAATAATAATAATAATAAAATAGTAGTAGTAGTAAATAAAGATAAGTCTCTGGCCTCCAAAAAGAGGCATCACTTTGGACAGGATTCACTTTCTGGTGGTTGTGATAAAGACAGGAAAATAAGAGGTAAAAAGTGAAGTTATAGTTGATGCTATGACACTGTTGGCACTATAGGGACTCAGGTTTCTAATTCCACTTAGGCACCAGGCAAGCCAGCAGTTTAGGTTCATTACTTAAACTTGTGATGAACACATGGTCTCAAGGTCAAAGCTTTGTGGTCTATCTAAGGCCACAGCATTCTGGGCCATACTATCATTCGATTTTAGAGGCAGGACAGATGCTAGCCAAGATGAAATGAATTTAAGGCAGAGTTGGGAATGAAGAGCCCAGGGAAAGATCTAGACCAATAGAATGATCCACATAAAGTCTTGATTTATAAACTGTTCCAAGCCCTTGAGTAAATGTTCATTCATAATTGTTATTCAGAGTTAATGTTTGGAAACTTTTAAAGCATTTGACATTGGTAGGATGTGTCTTCTATATTATACAAAAAGAAATACAAGCCTGGGGTTGTAGCTCAGTGGTAGAGCAATTGCCTCATTATCCATGAGGCACTGGGTTAGATCCTTAGCACCACATAAAAATAAATAAATAAAGTTATTGGGTCCATTTACAACTAAAAAATATTTAAAAGAAAAGAAAGAGGCTGAGGTTGTAGCTCAGTGGTTGAGCACTTGCCTCGCATGCGTGAGGCACTGGGTTCGATCCTTAGCACCACTTACAAATAAATAAATAAAATAAAGATATTGGAAAGAAAAAGAAAATACACCCATAACTATTCTTTTACTGTGGATTGTTTGAGAAATATTAGTATAAACCCGAGTTCCCTAAAGCATATCCTTCAAATGTTAATAATAATAGCTTAGTCTGTTTTGTTCTCTTCAGTTTATTTTACCTCATTCCTCCTTTTTTAATATGAAGGAATATATTTGTTTGTTTTTTGCAATGCTGGGGATTGAACTCAGGGACTCACACATGCTAGACAAACACTGTACAACTAAATTACATCCCCAGCCCTAGCCTCCCAAAAAATTTTTTTAGACATTGATGGACCTTTTTTTTGTTCATTTATTTATATATGGTGCTGAGAATCAAACCCAGTGCCTCACACTTGCTAGGCAAGTATTCTACCACAACTCCTGTATGATTCTTTGTTCTTTGTATGTACTGAATCTAAATTATGTTTTCACGTGCTGTGATGTTGAAGTCTTGATTATTTTGATAATTTTGTCTTTTCAGGGTTCCTGTGGACAATAATATGATGTTCCTTTTGCTGGTTCCCTGGGGATGACTGGTGGTTTTAAGGAACCAAAAGATTCTTCTAGGCCTATTTAGCCTTGAGAACTAATGAAAAAAAAACAGATACATCAGGCTAGTGTTAGTGAACATCAGGGAAAACTAGTGAATTAGAAAATTTCTGGCAAGTGTACTTATGTTTCCCAAATTCAAGGAAATGGAGGATATTTTTCTTTAAAGCAATAACCAAGAAAGTCTAGATCTTTGAAATCATAGAGGATAAAGTTTTCTAAGGATTAGGGACGAAGAAAGCTTTTGTATACCAAGGAAATCAGCATTATTTCTGAAACTTAAGAAATTACAATAGCCATAGGGCTGGGATTATGGCTCAGTGGTAGAGCACTTGCCTAGCATTGGGTTCGATCCTCAGCACCACAAAAACTAAATAAAATAAAGACATTGTGTCCAAATACAACTAAAAAAAATGTTTTAAAAAAATTTTTAAAACAAAGAAAAAAACCACATAGAACTTTGTATTAAAATGTTAAAGAGAATTTCATTAAAAGGTAGAAATGAAATAATACCAGCAAACACATAGTTCTTGCTGTATACCAGACATTTTTCTCTGAAGCATGGAGAGCTTAACCCATTAAGTCCCAAGTTTTCAAGTCTGCAAATATTTTAACAACATTGACAAAGGTGCATTAAAATGGCTTAGAAATCATAGTCTAGGGCTTATATAGCCTTTATTATCATGAAGAACAAAAATATACATTTTCCTACATGTAGGACACTGGGACAATATAGTTTCTTTTACGTATATAAGCCATCTTATGAATAGGACATTTGGCAAATAATACATTACAAAATTATACATTACAAATAATACATTACAAAGAAGCAATTTTTATGACCTCTTAAACAATTAATTTTGGTGGAAAGGAACAAATACTTCAAACAAAGGGTTACATTACATTTTGATATCATCACTGTTCTTGCCATTTGAGAGTAATACAGCTGCTCTTGTCAACTGATAGGATATCATCTTGGACACTAATAGGTCTAGGAGTATTACAGTCTCTTCCTCATGATGGTTTCTCATTGCATCCTTTCGATATGCTAAGCAGATGTCTCTTTTGAAATCCAACAAGTTTATGAGTTCTTTCTTCATCTTTGTTCACAATTCTATGAATAATCCATGCATTTATGATTCACATATCAATTACTCGAGTGAACAAAGGCCAAAACCATTTTTTACCTCTAATAGAAGTGGAATATTTGGAAACCAACCAATCATGTTTGTCCATAGCACCACTGAGATTGTTGCAGGTGCCTACTGCCTTTGTTTGAGGCACACTGGCTCTACTCTTTCTTTTTTATTTCCACTATTGAACTTTGCCAAGTAGTTTCATCAGGTCATAGTTTATTCCAACAATGACATATTTATTATCTAACCATTTTGCAATGAGAATTTCGTTATTAGTATCAAATCTGTAATCATATGACCCAATGACTTGTTTTTCCTCATGGTGCTTCTAACTTAGAATCCAATTCTTTTTTTTTTTTTTTTGAGGCTTGGGGGAGTGGTGGGGAGCAGGGATTGAACCCAGGGCACTCAATCACTGAGCCACATTCCAAGCCCGTTTTTTGTATTTTTATTTAGAGACAGGATGTCACTGAGTTGCTTAGGGCCTCACTAAATTGCCGAGGTTGGTTTTGAACTCATGATCTTCCTGCCTCAGCCTCCTGAGCTGCTGGGATTATAGGCATATGCCATCTCCCCTGGTGGAAACCAGTATTTCAAAGGTATACAAACAAGTCATACTGACTGAATAAATTGTCAAGGAAAAAAAAGCATGATTGGGTTCTTTATCACTTCTAACATTTATAGAACTACCTTACTCCCAAGCAGAAGACCATCATTGGGTCCTTCTTGAGAACTTTTTCCAAGTTAAAGTTAAACACAAAGTTATAGCAGTATTTCCATATTCCTCACTGTGCCCAGAATGTGTAACCAAATCTTAGGGACTTACCTCTTATAAATTGTTTCAGTGAATTGTGTCCATAAGATCTGATATTTTAACCACTGTCAAACATTCTTCAAAGAAACTGAATGTCATGCATGACTTTTGAGTCATATTTATTAGAAGATGAATTTGAAAACATTTATCTTCAATATTGTCATTTGTTATTGTTGCAAAAATATGTGATACTTTTCAGCTCCAGGAAATAATTTCTTGACATTGCATTTTGATACTAGACATACCCAAATCTTCATCATTTGACCAGTAGTTTCTTATGGAGGGCAGCTTATGATACTTTTATTATGAAAACATAATAATTCCTAAAAGTATTTAACTCATCTAGCTAAGTACTTCAAATTCATGCTTACTTTCTGCAGAATAATATGCATCGTCTATTTCAAGTATTAATATTTCTTCAAAAATCTCCTCCAGGCTAGAATACTCTAAAAGAATTCCTCATTTTCCTCAAGCTTTCAGAATCAGTGTTTTCCCTAATACATTCCTTTTTTTTTTTTTTCTTTTGTACAGGGATTGAACCCAGAGTGGTTACCCATTTAGCCACATCTTCAGCCTCTATTTCTTATTTTGAGACAGGACCTGTTGCTTAGGGCCTCCCTAAGTGGCTTTGAACTTGAGGTCCTCCTGCCTCAGCCTCTTAAACTGCTGGAATTACAGGAGTATGCCACTGCACCTGACTCTAATATATTCTGTAGAGTAGGGAAACACAGGTCACAATTTGTCAACAAAATTACCACAAGTAGCAACATATTAGAGTTTGTCATGCAGCAATATATTGCACAATATATTGCTAAGAGTATACATTGTTCCTGTGTCCTGTTTATAGGACAGCTGCTTTTGAACATTTATAGTTTGGAATACAATGCATTTCTTGAAATAAAATCACAACCTAGTTCCATAAAATATTTTCATGTGTGAATTTCTTATATTACATTATCAGTTATATATGTACTATTTTGTTCAGTTGATCATTTAGTAAAAGTAACTTCTGCAGTAAAATTTATGCCATTTTCACAATGAACTTTAAAATATTTCAAACCCTCTCCTCATTACCTATTACTTTCCTCAAAAGAATAGAACTCTACAAACATAATAATTATTTCAAAGTTACCATTGGTAAGTGGTATATTTGTTGCTCAGTTTAAGGTCTTAAAAGGTATTCCATATCTGGAATAATGGGACAAAAAACATGCCCAGGTCACAATGAGTATAGAGGCAAAGTTTGAACCCAAGTGATAAGAGTTGAAATACTGTACCATAAAGGCACTCAGTTCTTTTTTGTTGTTGTTGTTCTAAACAACTGTGGTTCCTGATTTATAGGTTCAAAGAGATGAAACATTTGCTTCTATTTTAAGCTTGCCTGTTTAGTTCAGGATTATGCTAAGTTACTTAGAGTCTTTTCTCCTGTATCTATATTGCTTCCTCAGGTTGTCATTTTCTCATCTTGAGGAAACACTCGAAGAAGAGAGTAAAGAGAGAAAGTGACCAAATATCCTCCATTAGCCTTTTCCAAATTGTACTAGTTGAAGAGAGAAATTCATTGTTTTTGTATGTAAGAGCCAAAATAGTAATAATTATAGTAGTAATAAATAATAATGATGATCCTGTTTATAATCTGGTATCACACATAAACTTAATAAGCTTAAAGCCCATGGTGTTGGGGCTTGGGTTGTAGCTCAGTGATAGAGCACTTGCCCAGCATGTGTGAGTCACTGGGTTCCATCCTCAGCACCACATAAAAATAAATAAGACAGAGGTCTTGTATCCATCCACAACTTAAAAAAAAAAACACACACACAGTTTCAGGAGGTGAGGGATGGACTAAAAAAAAAAAAAAAAAAAATGCTGTTTCCTTTTCCCTTTATCACTCACTTGCTGACAAAGATTACAACGTAGGATGACTAAGGCCAACATATTTATTTCATTTCTGTGAATGTAGTTCTAAACATCAACTAATAATTTATTATATAAAAGATTGATTTATTGATTTTTAGACTGGAGTGCTAATGTTTTAAAATGAAAACCAAGAATATCTTGCCAGTAAGAAATTTGGTTTTGATTATATTAAACAAATGTTAATTTTTTTTTTTTTGAACCGGAGATTGAACTCAGGGGCACTCAACCACTGAGCCACATCCCTAACCCTGTTTTGTATTTTTTTTGAGACAGGGTCTCATGGAGTTGCTTAGCACCTGTCATTGCTGAGGCTGGTTTTGAATTCACTATTCTCCTGGCTCAGCCTCCCGAGCTGCTGGTATTACAGACGTGTGCCATCGCACCCAGCTACAAATGTTGATTTTTATATTTGCAAATTAGCCATCAGTTTGCCTTTTTCCACTTAAAATCTCTAGAAACCCATTGCAATTAATACATGATTCTCAAGCTGCATCTGTGCTTTAATCTATTTCTGTTTTGCTGAATACTCAAGTGAATGGATAAAATCATAGTTTTCATTTGGCTGTATTGCAAAGTCCATTGTACACTTTCCATAGGGGAAAAAACAAACAGGACCATTGACTAAGTCTTGTAACTGCTATAATTGGTATTTTCCTAAGAGGAATTATTCATCTATTATCAGATTGCAGCAGGAGAGAAGATTCCTTTGAGACAGGAAGAAATACCTCTTCAAGGCCATGCCTTTGAGGCTAGAATATATGCAGAAGATCCAAACAATAACTTCATGCCAGGGGCTGGACCACTGGTGCACCTCTGTACCCCTCAAGCAGACTCTTTCACTCGGATTGAAACTGGCGTTCAGCAAGGTAATGTGAAATGAAAAGTCTCTTTTTTTTTAATATTTTATTTTTTAGTTGTGGTTGGACACAATACTTTTATTTTTTTTATTTTTATGTGGTGCTGAGGATTGAACCCAGGGCCCTGCACATGTTAGGCAAGCACTCTACCACTGAGCCACAACCCAAAAGTCTCACTCTTGTTAAACTTCTAGTGCATTTTTTTTTTCCTTTGAGATAGGATCTTACTGTATTACTCAGGCTGACCTTGAACTTTGGGGCTCAAGTGATTCTCCTGCCTCAACTGGGACTAGAGTTACCACCATTGTGCCTGGCTTTGGAGCATTATTTATTTTGGGATGGAGTCTTATGGAAATATCTGGCATGTTTTAAAGTAAGGGACTTAATTGATTTCCATCAAATTTTACTTTTTCCTTCTATAAGAGTTAATTTTTTAAAAAACAACTTTTTTGTAGTTGTAGATGGACAGAATGTCTTTATTTTATTTGTTTTATTTTATTTTATTTTATTTTTTAAAGAGAGAGAGAGAGAGAATGAGAATTTCAATATTTATTTTTCAGTTTTTGGCAGACACAACATCTTTGTTTGTATGTGGTGCTGAGGCTCGAACCTGGGCAGCACGCATCCCAGGCGGGCACGCTACCACTTGAGCCACATCCCCAGCCCTATTTGTTTTATTTTTATGTGGTGCTAAAGATCGAACACAGTGCCTCACCCCTGCTAGGCAAGTGTTCTGCCACTGAGCTACAGCCCCCTATAATAATTATTTTTAAAGCATTAACTATGGGGCTGGGACTGTGGCTCAGTGGTAGAGTGCTTGCCTAACGTGGGCGAGGCCCTGGGTTCGATCCTCAGCACTACATAAAAATAAATAAATAAATAAAGGTATTATTTATTATTTATTATACATTAAACAATGTACTGTTGTTTTAAAATGCAACATACTTGTTAAAACTTTACCAAGAAAAATTATGTATGTAAATTGAAATGCATAGTGCTGTCATATATAACAAATTAGAATAAAAAATATGTTATATCTATTGTTTTATTATTTTACTTTGTCTAGTTCTAAAAGTGATTAAAATTGACTGTGATATCTATTATAATATAGACACTCTGCCTTCAAGGAACTTAAAGTCAAGTATAAGTAGTATAAGCTAAACAATAATAATAAAAAACAAAATACATTGGAAAGGAATAGTGCAAGAGCTTTCATAGTTTGGCATAGGATTAAATAACATTGGTTGTAACTAAGAATTCCTTAGTGCCTCCTATCTATTTTTGGTGATTTTTCTGTGTGGGCCTTTTTTAACATGAGACCCACCTCCCTCATGAGCAGGTATTATTACTGTGCCCATTTTTGAGATGAAGAAACTAAGTCACTAGAGGAGTTAAATGACTTAACTTCAATGTTATCTTTGGAGTTAAGATTCAGACCCAGGCATCTAGCTTCAGAGTCTGAGCCATTAAGATGGCTATTTACTGCCATTTTCATTTCAGTTGCCAGAGTAAGTTACACAATGATGAGCTATAGCACTTCTCAGGACTGAGAGATTATATTAGGTTGATATCATCAGGACCTGCTTTAAGAGGAATTCGTAAGTGAACTTAAGTAGGCAGATTTAATAAGCATAATGAAAAGTGAAGAAAAGAGAAGGTGAAAGTTGTAGTTAAACAACTATGGCTGAAGAAAAGGTCAGGAAGGTGGGTATTTGGAGACGCAGCTGGAGACACCATTTGAGGGCAAATCATATAGCGTCTTACAAGCCAAAATGAGGAATTAATACTTCTTCATAGTAAATTGGCTAAGCCACAGCAAGATTTGGTAGTTAGTGACATTTTTAACATATTGCAGAGCACATTGGAAACAAAAGAACACTGCAGTAGGAAGAATGGACCTTTGGGACAAGCAGAGCTTGCTACATAGTTAAGTTGCTCAAAGGAGAGCACAGATGTAATTCTGAGAAGGGCTTCCATATTCTCCTCTTGGTCCTGAGAGGGGTAATCCAGTCTAGGAAACTGCTCCCAGCCCTCTGTTCTGTGTACCTGAAATCGTTCGTGCATTCCATGGGCATGGCCCGTGTTGTACTCCTGTGATATTTTACTCCTTGTCTCATGTCGCTCTTTCTGTAAGACTCTGAAGGGAAGGACTATGCTTTCCGTATTATATTTGCAGCACCTTGCTCAAGCTGAGGCCTAGTGGGTGTTTAATATGTGTTGATACGTGAGTAGGTGGGTATATGGATAAGAGAGTAAATTGCATCTTCTTGATATTATAGGTGAGAACCCTGGAGTTCAGAGAGGTCAAACGACCTGCCAAAATGGGGAAAAGGTCCTACAACAATCTGTATGATGCACCACATCCTTGTAATTCAAACCATTTCTGTCGAGTGGGATGTGCCATGGTTCTTATTCTCTAGGACTGTAATCTTAGTAAGCTAGCTGCTTGCTACTTGCTTATCAGCTCTGCCAGGCACAGAACTTGGCACTTTATATTCACTCCTCCCAACACCCTCCAGGAGAGAAGAATTATTATCTTTATTTTACTGATGAGGAAACTGAAAGCGTAGAAGGGGGGAAATGCAAAAAACAGAAGTGAGCGAGAAGTAGGAGTTTCCATTGATTTCCAAAAGAAGAAAGGGAAAAAAGGTTCAAAAACAGATAAGAAAGGGATAGGCAGCCTGCATGTCACTAAATTAACATGTTAGGGTGGCCATATCCTCGTTAGAGTTTGGACAAGTTTTTAAAACCCTCTGAGTCCACCCTGCAGGAGTTTGTGAGGACTAGGTGTGAAATGTACATAAGCAGAATGTCTTGCTTCTCATTTTTTATTTCTTCAAATTTGGACTTTGAAAGGTTCTGTGGTTTTTCAATTTCAGGAGATGAAGTTTCAGTACACTATGACCCCATGATCGCGAAGCTGGTCATATGGGCTGCAGATCGTCAGGCGGCCTTGACAAAACTGAGATACAGCCTTCGTCAGTACAATGTGAGTCACCTGGGGCCGTAAGGACTCTGATGCTTTTGGTCAACATCAAAAGTCATTCTTTGTTCTTGTCAGAGCCTTAGTCTTGTCACCTTATTTCTACCAACTGCCTGTATGTCACATACAAAATGAGTTCCCATGAGGAAATTTCCTATCGATCAGAGTAGTCTTTGAGGACTTCTTGATTTCAGAAAAGAAAGACTGCAGAAGTGAAACTGTTAGGATCAGTATCAGTGTTACATTTTAGTGAAATCCTAGTCATTCTATAAATAAGGCAACTATAAGAGTGTTGTATACAGTCCAGTAACTCCTATCCAAAGGAAAATAATTATGTTCAGTTTCATCCTTTTGATCTCAGGGATCCCTCTGTCATCAGCCCTCCATACTTCACAGGGACCTTTCCCAGCCTCTCCCTTTAAAAATAGGACCCTTTGCTGTTTTCTATTCCCTCTTAGTTTAAATGTGACATGCTAACAAAAAAACTAGTTTATATTAGATGTTTGTTTAGATATGTGGTTTGTTATATGTCGCGACCCCTTGCCCGCAAGGAAGACGCAACTCAGGAATCTTCTTTCAGCAGTTTATTCAGGCCCTTGATATTTCTTCTTCTCTCTCTCGGATGCCCCTCCCAGCCTTAATAAAGCATCTCAAGCCCCAATGCAAAGCTGCCACGTGGAGCTTTCTCATAGGGTGGTGAAAAACCATGCGCCAACTCTCCCAAATAAGGAGTTGTTTGTCACAGACCACAGCGGAGCCAGCGCCATCTTGTAATGGCGACCATAGTCTGCAGAAATGGCAGAAGCGGCTCACCACAGTTATATATAGTCTCTCTAGAAAATAAGCGCTTGTGAGCATAGGGACTTCATCTACTTATTCCTCACTGTCCCCAGGGCCTGGATGCCTAAAAGGTGCTTAGTAAATGGCTATTAAGTAAATGAAGAAATAGATGAATGAATGAATGAATGAATGCACTCAAGACTCATACAGCTAGTTTAATCTCTGATCCTCTTTATTTGGTAGATTTGGGTTAATTTTATGTCTTTTTAAAATCAATGTGTAAAATTTGTATTCTCAGGTTGGAAAGAAGTTCCCTTGAGGCCATTGAATCCTATTCCCTCCCCAATGTAGCAATCCTGCCTGATGTTTGCAGTCATTTTATTTTGTGGAAGTGTTAATGTGCAACCATTCTTCAGTATCTTGCAAATAAATTTTATTTATGTTTCTTAACTTTTTTTTTTTTTTTGGTACTGAGGATTGAATTCAGGGGTGCTTAACCACTGGGCAATATCCTTAACCCCTTTTTATATTTTATTTAGAGACAGGGTTTTGCTAAGTTGCTTATGGTCTCCCTAGGTTGCTGAGGCTGGCTTCGAACTCATGATCCTCCTGCCTCAGCCTCTTGAGCTGCTGGTATTATAGGTATGCACCACTGTCCTGGGCTGTTTCTTAACTTTTACCTGTTTCCTAATCTGAGTCAATTAAATGTCTCTACACTACCTACTGTAACACCGTTGCCATCTCCTTTATCTTATTAAAATGTAGCTTTTAAAAAAAAAAAATAAAATGTAGCTTTAAGTGTGAAATTCAGATATATAGTGGTAGATGTGATGATAGTACATTTTACCACGATACCGTCATAGGTTTTTCCTTTTTTCTAAGGGTTGTCCACAGTAGAAAATATTTAGGGGGAACAAAAAAAGATGCTTTTCCAACTGGATTGTTTCCCCCACTCAGTAGGACCTGGGCTTTATTCTCTTCCTAGATCGTGGGATTATGTACCAATATCGACTTCCTATTGCGCCTGTCTGGCCATCCGGAGTTTGAAGCCGGGAATGTACACACTGACTTCATCCCTCAACACCACAAAGAACTGCTGCCCAGTCAGAGGGCTGTAGCCAAAGAATATTTATGCCAGGCAGCTCTGGGTCTCATCCTCAAAGAGAAAGCTATGACCGATGCTTTCAAACTCCAGACACAAGGTACAGAATGCGTTTTTCTTTCCTCTGCCTGAAACACTTTATGAAACATCGCTGGGTACACTTCCTTTTTTGTATGTCACTCTTGCCTCCCTTTTCTCCTCTCAGTGACTGGTACCATTCCCTGCAGATGTCTTCTTTAGTGTGAAGGAGAGCTCTGCACAGATCATGGATGAACCCATAAACACATTTTCATCTGCTAAGTGTAGCCTAATTAATCCCCTAACCTTGTAGAAATGGGTCTCTTTTCAAACACTACTTCTTTCTTTCTTTTAAATTTTTCATTTATGTGTTCTAATCAGTTATACGTGATAACAGAATGCTCTTTGATTCTACTTCTTTCTTTACCTCTTCCTGAAGCCTGAGACTTCTGTTGTTCACTACTGTTCTGTTGTTCACTCTGTCTCTATTAAAAAAAATTTTTTTAAATCTAACCTATTTATCTTTTCTTATTAGGAGTATTATATATGCCTATCTTTTTATAAGATCCTTTTTTGAAGATCTTTAATTTCTAGATTGATTCAAAATAGTTTTATTTTATTTATTTATTTTTAATTTTTTCCCCCTAGTACCAGAGATTGAACCTAGGGGTGCTTAACCACTGAACCATATCCCTAGCTTTTTTAACTTTTTAATTTGAGACAGGGTCTCACTAAGTTGCTGAGGCTAGCTTTAAACTTGCAATCCTCCTGCCTCAGCTTCTCAAGTTGCTGGAATTGCAGGCATGTGCCACTGTGCCCAGCATTCAAGACAGTTATTTTGAAGGCTTAAAATTACAGCTCTAGGGCTGGGATTGTGGCTCAGCAGTAGAGAACTTGCCTAGCAAGTGCAAGGCTTTGGATTTGATCCTCAGCACCATATAAAAATAAATAAATAAAATAAAGGTATTGTATCCAACTACAACTAAAAAATAAATATTAAAAAAAATGTACAGCTCTGCTTTAGATTTTTACTCTGTTCATTTATTATTAAATGCAAATGCATCTAAATGTGCCCCATGTGAAATTACTGAGCCTGAACTTAACATTGTTAGAATGGAGTGTCCTCTTGCTTTCTTTTTTAAATTTATAACTGGTACAGATATATGCTTCTAAATATAATGACTTCAATTTAATTAAGCTACTTTGTCCAACAGAGAATGTACCCCCAAACACCTGTAAGTGCTATATCAGTAAAGTAGAACTGTGAAAGAGACCAGGTGAAAGAAAAATAGTGAGTGATAAAGATTTTGGTGACCTGGCATGCATTTGCCCTGTCAAAAGGGAGTGGCCACTGCAGTTTATGCCACCAGAGAATGAGAGTTTAGGTTGCAAATATTCTGATTCTCCCAGAGAAGCTTGGATTTCTTGTATCAAATTTTCTAAGATATAAATGGGTATATAAATACAAATAAATGAATATATGACAGAACTGGAAGTACCTAATTTAAATTTAAAACAATAAAAAGAACAAAGTAAATAACTGATTCAACAGTTTAGGACCTGTGGTTTATGTTCTTTTGTAAGGTAAATTAAGTAGGCTTGATATTTTAAAATTTGTTTGGAATTTTAATTTTTTTCTAGATCAATTCTCTCCATTTTCATTCAGCAATGGAAGAAGGCTTAACATCTCATACACCAGAAACATGACTCTTAGAGATGGTAAAAAAGGTAAGAAATACCTTATTAAAAGAGAAATATGAGTCATAGAAATATATCACATTAAACTAAAAAAGACAGTTCAGCCTGGTCATGACCAATCAATTACATTTTTTAAAATACCTGCCACTGGGCTGGGGATGTGGCTCAAGCGGTAGCGCACTCACCTGGCATGCGTGCGGCCTGGGTTCGATCCTCAGCACCACATACAAACAAAGATGTTGTGTCCGCCGAAAACTAAAAAATAAATATTAAAAAATTCTCTCTCTCTCTCTCTCTCTCTCTCTCTCTCTCTCTCTCTCTTAAAAAAAAATAAAATACCTGCCCTAATAATGGAAGGGAATATGCCAAAATTAGAATTGATTGGTTGTTGGTGGTGCAATTGATGATTCTTATTTTTCTTTACACTTTTCTATGTTTGTAAATATTCTAAAATATGTCATAAAACATACACAGCAAAACAACTGAGATAAAATATACCAAAATGTTGGCAAGTTTATCATAGGATAGGATTTTTCCCAAATTCCTTGTACTTTTTTGCTTTTCAGTAAAAGTGTATTATTTTTAAAAATAAGAAAAACAATATCTAAAACTGTGTCAGAGAAGGAGGATTACCCATTGCTCAGGCAATGTTTTGGATGTTTGAGGTAGAAGTGGATTGCTAAAGAGCTATAATTTATTATGTGCCTTATCACGTGTGAGATTTTGTCTTCACAACAACTTAATGAGGGGGAGTCAGTATTACTCCCACCTACAGATGATGAAACTGAGGCACAGAGGTGAAGTCACTTACTCAAGGATAATAGGTGGCACAGCATTATTGACTGCCCACTCTTTCTGATATTGACTCCCATGATTTTTCCAATGGAGAACAATTTTATTACAAACTAATTTGAATAGGTTCAGAGTAAGGACTGGTTTATTTTAACTGAAGTCAGAAGAGGCTGATACCTAAGCCAGAAGATAGTTAATAAATTTATACCCAGGGTCACATACCAGAGGGATCAGTATCCTGTGATGGCTGGTGACCATATCCCTTCTTCTGTAGGACAGTTTGCATGGGAAGCCAGATGGGTGCAGTCATCTGATGTCCTTGTGAGGTATCCCTGAACTATGAGAGCTCCCTTTAAAAAAAATCTATGTACAAGGTGGAGCCAAATCCTCTTGCCTACTGATTGTTACTCCCTCTTTTTCTAAGCAGAGTAGGATCTTTTCTACTTCAACTCTAGACATTCACTCACTTAGTAACAAATTCCTCATTCACAGAAACTACTTGGGTTACAAATCTTTAGCTATTTTCTTATCATGTGCATTACCTTAAATGCATCAGTATATTTTTAAGCTATCATAAGGAAAGTTTGGAAATATCTTTTACATAGTAGCATTGTGCATATGATTTCCCTCTCCATTTTATGCTAATGTGTGTTTACTCATTTCATTCTAAAAAAGCAGCCCCCAAACTTGGGAAATATCTGTCTCTAGAATCCTATATGCTGAATGGAAGTATCAGAAGCAGTAAAATTTCAATTAAACCTCAATTAAACAGAAGAATTGTGTGTGGGATTGTAATTTAGTAGATCAACCAATTGTTATTTGGCTGGAATCTTTATTTAAGCAATAAGTAGTGTTTTAAATTATGCTGAATTTTTTAGAATTAAAAAAAGTTTCATGTTAAAATAATGCATACATAATTGAAAAGCTAATATGACTCCTGTTCACTACACCCTTTGGCAGTATTCTACAAAAAGAATCCAGGTCTGAGTGTAATAGCTTTTAGAAATGTTATGGTGAGCCAAGCACAGTAGCACATGCCTGTAATCCCGGAGACTTGGGAGGCAGGAGGATCAAAAGTTTGAGGCAAGCCTCAGCAATTTAGCAAGGTCCTCAGCAACTTAGTAAGACACTGTCTCAAAATAAAAAATTAAACTGGCAGACAACCTAGTTCAGTGTTTATTCCCCTAGGTTTAATCCCCAGTACTAAAAAAAGAAAAGAAAGTTATGGTGAATCTCTGAAAAATGCTAATCAGCTGTGACCATAGGAAAATACATCAAAAGTGCCCTAAGAGCCCCAAAGCATTTAAAAATCAAAAGTAGAATCAACTTTTCATGATCTCAGTGAGAATAACCAAGTATTTCAAATACTGTATTCAAGGCTTGAAATTTTTTCTTACTTTGTTACTTTTAGCCATGTTTTACAGAACCATGCCCAACCCTCAATGATAATAACAGCTAGGATATATTGATTATTTGGTGTTTGTTAGATACTTTGTTAAACACTTTCCAAAGATTATTTCATTTACATTTTCAGAACAGGCCAGTGAGATCAGTGTTATTAATGTCAACTTTGTAAATTACTGATCTCTTTGAGCCAAGGCCAGAGCATAGAGAGATAAGTAATCTTTCAAAAGTGACACTGAAAGTAACTGGTGGAGCCAGCACTTGAAACAGAACATATGGGGCCAGGGATGTGGCTCAAGCGGTAGCGCGCTCGCCTGGTATGTGTGCGGCCCAGGTTCGATCCTCAGCACCACATACGAACAAAGATGTTGTGTCTGCCAAGAACTAAAAAAAAGAATATTAAAATTCTCTCTCTCTCTCTCTCTCAAAAAAAAAAAAAAGAAAAGAAAAAGAAAGAAAAAGAAACTGAACATATGCATACCTGCCTCATGCCATGCTAGATTTCCATATCTTATTAAATGTATGAGGGTGTTAAGTTTCTCTGGTGAGTGACAAGAAATATGTAAGGGAGAGAGAAACAAGTTTAATCACTTTATAATGCTATAAAAGAATTTAGAATCAATGGCAGTGTCTTTTCTATGATTCTACTGGCATTTGTGTCAGTTAAAACTGCTTTTCATATTTTATAAATTGAAAGAACATTGATCGGGTGTAATTCAGGGCATTTTCTTCTAAGAAAGTTAAAGCATGTTGACAAAATGGGGGTGGAGAATTTTCATACACCCAGTACAAAAATCTTTGAAGAAATAGATATGCTGAGTGAAGTGGAGAAGAGGGAAAAAATATCTTTGTGCACTTTTTTCTATCAAAAAATTCACCATGGGGCTGGGGTTGTGGCTCAGTGGTAGGGTGCTTGTCTAGCACTCAGCGTGAGGCACTGGGTTTAATTCTCAGCACCATATGAAATAAATAAATAAAAAGGTATTATGTCTATCTACAACTAAAAAAAAAAAATTTAAAATAAAAAGAATTCACCGTTTGGAAATGTATTGGGAAGATGGATGGGGTATGGTTAACATTGCAGACCCTGGAGTTTTTGTGTATTAGTATTTGACTTTTGTGAATGCTTTTATTACTAAGTTGTTTTTTGTTTTTGTTTTTTTTTTTTTTTTTTGAAACAACTCATGAAGAGAAAACTCACTTTTATTATAAATCAGGATGAGGGGAGAATCATTATATGCAGAAATATAAATGTTTAGAGGAGAGAGTTTATCCTGCCAGGCAGACTTCCCAAGGACAGTGAGCATGGAGTGAAGAAAGCAGGCATGGGGTTTTATTGTGGCTGGGAACAGCAACATGGTGAAGGAGGAGCCATGAGCAGAGGCACAGATGAGGAGTATTGGCCCATTTCCCCATTTATTTTTTGAGCAGAAATCTGTGTGTGCAGAGGAGAGGTAGCAAATAAGGCTGAGAAGTTGGAGCCGTCAAACAGGGCCAAGTGTTTTGAGTGCACTGGGGACAAGCTAGGAAGCATAAGCTGGAAGGATTGAGATAGGAAGCAGGAAAATCCTGGAGGATCTCCTCAGAGCCATTCAGACCATTCAGCCTGGCCGGGGTCAAGGTAGAGCAATGGGAATGGAAAGGCAAGCATGCACAGGACAGGTACGTAGAGGAAAGAATTTGGTAGCCATATGGGGACTGCTGGAGGTAGAAAGCCCAAAGAAAGATGAGGCAAGGATGACAGGTTGTAAGTACAGATGACAAGAAGAAAAGTGGTGCTAGTCATGGAGCTCACAGGCCAGGAGGGGACAATGATTTGTTGGACCCAGCATGATGGTTTTAATATGCCAGTGTGGCATCCAGCTGGCAGTTAACTAATCAGAGTTCTAGAGAAGGAAGGAAAGTCAGGGCTAGAAACAGATTTGAGCTGGCAGAATGAAAGTGATGGTTGAAGTATCAGGAGGTAATGAAATTACTGTGACCTATATGCTCTGCCCCATGATACTTTTTTTTTTTTTTTTCCTGGTGCTAAGGCTCAGACCCTGGGCTTTGTGTATGTTAAGCATGCATGCTACCCCTGAGCTTCTACAAAACTTGATTTCCAACTCCTAGAGTAGTCTTCAATCAATTCCATATTCATGTAATAATATGAATGATTTCGTATATTTGTATAGTCTATTACTGTTTATAAAGCACTCTCTCACTTATGTAATCGTTACATTCTCATACCCACTAAGTAGCTCAGAAATAAAAAGGCTCAGGGATTTAGTGACTCAAGTTAGGACCACAGAGGAAATCAGAAATTTGGGTCTTAAACTAGAACTTCTATTTATCAATTCATTGTATTCTCTGCTATGACACTGCAGACTTTTCATTGTAGGGCAAATATAGAAAATATTCTACAACTTTAAAAATATCTAAAACTGAATTTTTAAAAAAGAAAAGTTTGAGGTTGAACTTCATTGAAACCTGCCTGCCAGATGCTTTTCTAAGAAAAAGCCTTTATTTCCAGGGAGTTAAAAGATGATGATCCTTTGTGAACAGCTGGTTATCTTAAGATTGAAAATGAGATTTTGGCATCTCAGTTATTGAATAAGTGAATGTCTTCTAATTTTTCTTTAATTTTCCCCCTTTTCCATAAAGATGTAGCAATAGCTGTAACATATAACCATGATGGGTCATATGGCATGCAGGTAAGCTTTAATCAGGTTTTATTCTACAGTTCAGAGCTAACTCTGGCTTCTCTCCTACTGAACGAGTGTTTTTTTGTTTTTTTTTTAATCTCCAATTTCTCTTAAGCCTTTGACTATTGTAACTGTAGTTAGAAGAATGTTATGTGCTTTTATTTCAGACTAGTTTGGAGAAATTACCCCATATATAGTTTCTAACTCTTTGTTTGCTCAGTTTGGCCATGGTTTCCTTAAGAATAAAAACTTGGCAAGAAGTAATAGCCTTGAATCAGACACCTAGCAAGCCCTAAAGTTATGTATGTGTTTGCCTCAAAATCAGCAGTTCTCAAGTTTTTGGTGTCAGAAACCCTATACACTCTGAAAAATTATTGAGACACCTCCCCAAAAGATCTTTTGTTTATGGTAGTCACATCTATACCAAAATTTACCATCTAGAAATTTTAACTGGGAAATTTTTATTTTTATTTTATTTTTTTTAATTTTAATATTTATTTTTTAGTTTTCGGCGGACACAACATCTTTGTTTGTATGTGGTTCTGAGGATTGAACCCGGGCCGCACGCATGCCAGGCGAGCCCACTACCGCTTGAGCCACATCCCCAGCCCTTTTTATTTTTTAATTATGGTAAAATGCTCATAACAAAATTTACCATTTAGTCATTTTTAAGCATACAGCCCAATGGCATTAAAATATATTCACATAGTTGTACAACCATTCAACTCCAAAACTTATTTTTTTAAATATTTTTTTAGTTGTATAAGTGGACACGATGCCTTTATTTATTTTTACGTGGTGCTGAGAATCGAATCCAGTGCCTCACATGTGCCAGGCAAGCGCTCTACCACTGAGCTACAACCCCAGCCCAAAACTTATTTTATCTTGCAAAACTGAAATTCTGTAGCCATTAAACAATATTAACTCCATTCCCTTTTCCCCTCACTCCCAAGAACAAGTTCTACCTTTTTTTTTTTTTTCTTTTAAGTGCTGGGGACTCAAATATTCTAGATTCTGTATCCCAGCCGTTTTAAAGTAGTCTTCAATCAATTGTTAAGACAGGGTCTTGCTTAGTTGCCCAGGCTAACCTCAAACTTGTGATCCTCCTGCCTCAGCCTTCTGGGTAGCTAGAATTAGAGACTTGTGTCACTGAAGCCAGCTAGTAATTCTATTTTTCATGCTTTGAGAGATAGCCATATTGTTTTCTTTAACAACTCTTACCATTTTGCATTCTGACCAGCAGTGCACAAGGATTCCTTCTCCACATCCTGACTATTACTTGTTAAATTTTTTTGTTTTATTTTTGTTATCATGCATTGTTTTTTTTAATAATAGCCATCCTAATGGGTATGAAGTGGTATCTCATTTTGACTTTTAATTTGCATCTCCATAATGTCTAAGAATATTGAAACTTTGTGTGTGGCAGTGGGTACTAGAATCAAATTCATACATGTTGGGCAAGCTACACCCCAACCTGAGCAGCTTTTTTATATGCTTATTGGCCATTTATAAATCTTCTTGGGAGAAATGTCTATTCAGGTTCTTTGCCTATTTTTTAATCCGGTTTTTGTTTTGTTACTATTGCATTATAGACCAAGCAGAACTTTAAAACCTATGATTATCCAAGAACACATTCCATTAGCCATCAGAAAGATAGTATCGCATAATTTGATTTATATTTTTATTGCTCCTGGAAAATTCCACTGTGTACTCATGAAAGGATGAGGGTAAAACAGGGAAATGATATCTTAGTCTTATTATGAAAATAGTTTGACTTCATGCCCCCCCAGATGGGTGTTGGGAACCCCAAGGGATCTACTTTAGTACCTCCAATGTAAAGTTTATGACAGCCCTCAATTAAAATAAGTCCATTACACCGGGCACAGTGACGCACACCTGTAATCCCAGCGGCTTGGGAGGCTGAGGCAGGATAATTGTGAGTTCAAAGCCAGACTCAGCAACTTAGTAAGGCTCTATGTAACTCAGTAAGACCCTGTCTCAAATAAAATATTTTTAAAAGGGCTGGGGATGTGGCTAAGTGGTTAAGCACCCCTGGGTTCAATCAATAATAACAAGTCCATTACACTGACAAAATTAAATGCTAGAAAGGTTGAAAAATGTAGGAATTCAAACAAATTCCTATAATAAGGTGCAAATTCAGGGACAGAGTAGATCATTTTTAATATTAGCTAAGAGATTTCAAATCCTGCAAAATGGATTTATCAATATGTGTCAGACTTCCCAACATTTTGAGATATACTGGTTTTCTTTCTCTGAGATCCAGACCACCACGAGAAGTCTACCTACTTTAGTACATGAGAATTGTAACTCATATTGGTGCTTCTGGTTTAGGGACCTCTCTTATCCCTTGGTAACTAGTAATTGCCAATTTGCTCTATCTCAGTTCATGAAACTAAATCCACAAATTTAGAATGTGCTTTTGTGAATCTTTAAACAAAACTGTTTCCAATCTAACCTTTACATCGTGAGAATTTGTCAAACATTCAAATTGCTGTTTTAGAAGGTTACAAAGCAGACTAAAATGTCATATTTAACTTAGGATAGATGAGAACCAATGTATAAATATGGCAATATGACCTATTTCACCTTAGCCCACGTAATATGTTTGAAAAGAATAGCCATAGGATTTCTACACTAACATCATGGGAACTGAAATGAAAAGTACAGAGATTTAAGTGAATTTTCTATGCATAAAAATTTTTTCTCTTGAGTGTCTATGTGAGAAGATATTCTTTTAAACAAATTTTCATGTTCTTTTTGTCAGCTTCCTTGAAACATTACATTTGAAATCTGTTCTTTGGCACATAGTCTCTTAAAGTGAGAAAATTGTGGTCAATCTTCTGCTAATTTGTCATCTTAAATCATAACTAAGGCTCATGAATTGGATCTACATGTTGATGAAATGAAAGAAATACCATCTAATTATGTAGTTCTAGCTTTTCCTATTACTGACACTGGCATAGGAAAAATAAATTTGACTTTAAACTCAGGTACTCAGAAATGAATACTAACATGTAATATACCCAAATGAATTTCAATAATTTTGCTTAATTTGATTTATATTTTTATTGCTATTCTTTCTGTTCTTAAATGAAACTTTATCAATGGTGTTATGCTTTGTATAACCTTTTTTTTTCTTTTAATTATCCCACTGCTGTTTCTAAGTATTTTGATTCTATTAACTCTGTAGAGTTGTTCACTTACTTCAAAGATTGTATTTTTCTATTTTTTTCCAGATTGAAGATAAAACTTTCCAAGTCACTGGTGATCTTTATAGTGAGGGAGACTGCACTTACCTGAAATGTTTTGTTAATGGAGTTGCTACTAAAACTAAGCTAATTATCCTGGAAAACACTATTTACCTATTTTCCATGGTAATGTTTCTTTTTATAATATCACCCTTAGGGTCTGGAACAGAATTGTTTGACCAGAGGCATTTCACTGAAATATCAAAAAGATTCCACTTCCTTTAGCCACCATGGTGATCATTTTTCCCTCAGTTTCCCTCTCCAAATGTGTCTCTTTGCCACATTCTAACCTTCTCTAAGTTCTCTGTTCACTCTTTTATTCACATAGGTTCTCAATATTCGATGCATAATCATTCTCTTCCTTGAATTCTAAAATAAGACTTGCACACTCCTTGTGAGTCTCCCCTGGTCAGTGGGCAGTGTTCTTATAGGGCTTCCCCAGCCATTATCCTTCTGACACTGGGAATTCTGGGGATTTTGGAGGACGAGACCACTGGGAGAAGAGTCCACTGGGCTGAGGGCAGTAGGAAGGCAAGTGGGGTTAGTGGGGATCTCTTGCAGGCTGTGCATGGTCTTGTTTGGGAGGCTGCTACCTGGTGAGTCCCTATCCCCCTGTCTTGGCAGAAGGGGAATGCATGATCAGATGTACTCTGGCCTTTTTGGAGTCTCCTCACATTTGGGAACCCTCTTATAGATCACAGTCCTTGGTGATGAGATGACTTCAGTAGTCTATAGTTATTAAACTTACATACATGGAGTCAAGGTTGATCTCACTTTCCCAGGCACTCCTTTCCATAGTTGACTATTAAAATACAATGGTAAAGGCAGAACATGGAGTAATGGAGAACAAGAGTTCTGGAATGTGAGGCTGCTTTGGTTCAAAATCTGGCCATGTCTCTTAGCAGCTATATGACCTTGCACAGTTAAACTGGACTTCAGTTCCCCATATATGAATCTATGAATAGGAGCATCATTATTTCCCTTGTAGAGTTGTTGTGATGATTAATAACATAATTTACATATATATGTATAGATTATACATATTATATGATTATATGTGTGAAGTTCCTGGGATAGATTAAGCACTTGATTGTGATGGTCCTCCTAAAAGTCGTTTCCAGATAGTGGCTGTTACCCACAGTTACATGCTTTAATTCTTTAATTCCTAGTGAGATGTGTATGCCATTACTCCTTCATAATGGGAAACCAACACCAAGAAAAGTTTAGTGATTTGCTCAAGGTCACAAAGCTAGATTAGAACCCAGTGTTCTGATTAGAACCCACTGTAAGAAATGAGTGATGACTAATAGTTAACAAATAATTTGAAAACCATCTTAACCTCAGGTTTATTAGTAAAACACAGTGATAGGATATTGATTTCATTTTTAGATCATTTTCTTTTTATAGGAAGGAAGTATTGAGATCGGCATTCCAATACCCAAATATTTGTCTTCAGCAAGCTCAGAAGGAATTCAGGGAGGTACCATAGCTCCTATGACTGGAACCATTGAAAAGGTAATCACATGGCATCTGTAGGCCTTGTTACTGCCTTTTTGAACTTCATCATATATATTCTTTTCCCTCTCTAAATCATGCTTATTGGAAAGCATTTGTTCAAGAAACTAAGATTCAAGTTCTGTATTTCAATCTTAGTTGAAAATATCTATTTATCTAATTTATGATAAAGACTACTGTTTGATTTTAATGTTTTTTTAGTTACAGATAGACAAAATACCTTTATTTTATTTATTTATTTTTATATAGTGTTTAGGATTGAACCCATGTGCCTCACACATGCTAAGTGAATGCCCTACTGAGCATTGTATATGCCAAACACCTCCTCTAACTTTGAGCTACATTCCAGCCCAAGACTGCTGCTGTGTTTTGTTTTGGTTTGGTACCAGGTACTCAGAGACACTCTGCCACTCTGCCACATCCCCAGCCTATTTTGTATTTTATTTAGAGACAGGGTCTCACTGAGTTGCTTAGCACCTCGCTTTTGCTAGGCTAGCTTTGAACTTGTGATCCTCCTGCCTTTGCCTCCTCAGCCACTGGAATTACACATGTGCCCCACCATGCATGGCTTTGTGTGTGTGTGTGTGTGTGTGTGTGTGTGTGTGTGTGTGTGTGGTGCCTCTAGCCCTACTGCTGCTGTTTTTAAAGGTGGGAATTTATATCAAAGTACAAATAATTTGGGTGTGTAGCTCAGGGCCCTGGGTTCAATAAGTAAAAGTGTATAAATAATTCAAATTGTGATTAAAATGGAACATTCACCAAGCATTATCTGAAAAGGCTGGGCTTTAATGTTAAATTTAACGGCAAATAATTTTGTCATGAATTGACACATGGGCACAAGGCGGCTGAGACAGAAGGATCACAAGTTCAAAGCCAGCCTCAGCAACTTAATGAGGCCCTCAGCAACTTATGAGACCCTATCTAAAATAAAAAAAAGACTGACAATGAAGCTCAGTGGAAGAGATTGGTTCAATCCCCAGTATAAAAAAAAAAAAAAGAAAAGAAAATGAAAGAAAGGAAGGAAGGAAGGAAAGAAGGAAGGAAGGAAGAAAGAAAGAAAGAAAAGAGGCAATAATTCTTTATAATCACCTCCCAGAGGCCCAACTCCAAATAATGTCACCTTGTGGGGTAGGATTTCAGCATATGAATTTTCAGGGACACAAATATTCAGACCAAAGCAGAGACTGATATAACTTCAAACAGTGGTAGATCAGTAGTCTCCTTTTATACACTGGAATACAAAAAGAGTTTTCCCAAATGCATTTAAGTCATAAAAATTCAACTGTATTTTCTTGGTACCCAAAAAAGAAAAGAACTATTTAAACAATGTGGGTGATTCTTACCCACTGTTGTCCTCTGGGAATATTTGCTCCCAATGGGCTTTAATCTAAGAGACCTAGATCTGCCTTTAGCCAGTTCAGTCTTGGTTCCCACAGGCCTCTTGCAGTGTAGCATCCCTGCAGAGAGTTAGTCTTTAAGGGTTTTTTGGTGGGTTTTTTTTTTTTGGTGATGGTGTTTCGTTGTTATTTTTGCAGTGCTGAGGATTGAACTTACGGCCTTGTGCATGCCTGGCAAGTGCTCTACTATTAAGCTTACATCCCCCACCCTAGTCTTACTTTACAAATAGACATTTCAGTTAGGTACTATGGCCAGCATCTGTAGTCCTAGTGACTCAGGAGGCTGAGTAATAAGGATTGCTGGAGCCCAGGAGTTCAAGATCAGCCTTGACAACACTGTGAGACCCTATCTCAAGAAAAAAATTAATAATTAGAAATACAGCCAGGCATGGTGGCCCGTGCCTGTAATCCCAGCAACTCCAGAGACTGAGGCAGAAAGATCACAAGTTTGAGGCCATTCTCAGCAACTTAGTGAGGCCCTGTCTCAAAAAATAAGAAGGGCTGGGGAGGTGGCTGAGAAATTGAGATCCCCTGGGCTCAATCCCTGGTACCAAAAAATAATAATAATTAAAGATAGACATTTTTCCCATAACCCTAACCCCAGACAGTGATTCACTGGGCAGTACTAAAGCATCACCCAGGGTTGGATGATTTGTGGAGCTTTTGATTGCACTTCCTCCTTTTCATAATTTAGCTCTGCCTTGTGACTTTAGAACCTAACTTCACTGTTTCCAAGAACTTTTTGGTAACCTTGTTAAGCAAAAAGTCAGTGAGACATATAGGATACTTGAGTTCATTTAAATATGTAAAAGAGAAAGTGGAAATACTTTTCTAGGGTTGCTAATAAATTTAATTCTCTCAAATGAGGGTTATCTACATACCCACTACACTGTACTCCCTGAGGACTTGAAACAGCTATCCTAGACAACCCCAAAATTAATAAAAAAATAGTCAAGACCCTCATTTATCCCTCTATCCCTATCTGTGATAGAGACATTTACACGTATTAGTCCTTCCTTGTATTGATGTGTCTCAATTGTACATTCATTAAAAAAACTAAAGAACAACAAGATATGTAAAGTGTCTGACTTAAGCAAGACTAGATGATTTGGGAGGTAGGGATTGTGGCTGCAGGGCTGTCCCCTGGCTGCGGCGCCTCAACGCTGTATTGACCTGAAAATCTCCAGTTTATGCCAGGACATTTGACTTAGGAAGACAACACCACCACATGGACACATATTTCTGTTTTGTATGTTTAAATGCCAACTCTAAAGACAAGGAAGGAGCCAGGTATGGTAGCTCATTCCTGTAATCCCAGTGGCTCTGGAGGCTGGGGCAGAAGGATCACACACAAGTTCAAAGCCAGCCTCAGCAACTTAGTGAAGCCCTAAGCAACTCAGTGAGACCCTGTCTCTAAATAAAGTATAAAAAAGGGTGGGGGATGTGGCTCAGTGCTTAAGCACCCCTGAGTTTAATCCCTGGTACCCAAAAATAAAAAAATAAATTAAAAATAGAGACTATGAAGGACCTTTCTGTTTTTAAATATTAAATGTGTAACTCTGAATTCCTAGGTTTTTGTAAAAGCTGGTGACAAAGTAAAAGCTGGAGATTCTCTGATGGTTATGATCGCCATGAAGATGGAGGTATGTGAAATCATGAGTTCAGTTGCCAAGTAAACATTGGAAACTCTCAGACCTAATTGTTCTTTTGCCTTATTTTATGAGTAAATACCATTTTAAATATCAAAAGCCATGGATTGGCTAAGCATTCATTTCAGGAAACAGAACTAAACCATCCTTCTTGTAAATACATTTTCATTTTAATTTTGTGAAATTGCAGCTGTCCTTTTCTGATTATGGAGTTATCATTAGCTTGGAATCAGGCAATAACCCAGCTGAATGTTAACCATTAGTATTTTCTAAGGCTAAACTTTTAGTAAGCCAAGCATTAGTATCAAAGTGAAAACCTCCACCAAGTTAAATCAGCTGTCTAGGTTTTGAGACAGTTGGAAATTATAGGTGAATGGTTCTCATCCCTGAACAAATATTACATTCACCTGAGAAGGTTTTCATGCTAAGTGGAAAAAGTGAGGCTCAGAAAGTCAAGGGACAAAGATTTTCTCTCTTATGTGGAAGCTAGAGAAAAGGGGGAATCTCACAAAAACAGAAAGAAGATCAGTAGAGTAAAAACCAGCAAAGAAAGGCAAGGGAGGAGGGAAGGTAAATGAAAAGAACTGGGGAATGAAGTTGGCCAAATTATGCTATGTGCATGTATGAATATGATAACAGTGCCTTCCAATTTTTTATATAACTATGATGCACAAATTAAAAATAGCACAAGTAGCTCAGTGGTAGAGCACTTGCCTCACATGTGTGAGGCACTGGGTTCAATCCTCAGTACAATATAAAAATAAATAAATAAAATAAAAGTATTGTGTCCATATACAACTAAAAATATTTTAAATAAACAGAAGGAAGATCAATAAAGTAAAGGAAGGGGATTAAAGGAAGAGGGGATAGGACTGGAGATCAAAATAGAGAAAACTGTGTTTTCTCTGTATTACACAATTTCTCTTTTCTAATTTTTTTTTATTTATTTCTTACATATATGACAATAGTGGAGTGCATACATTCATAATTATCCATTCATAGCATAATTTTTCGTAACTGTATATGTATTACACAATTTCAAAACAACTGTTCACATTTTTCATTTTTGTCAGACTTTTTTGACTTGTTATATATTCAGTCCTTGTTAGTACTGCAACCATTGTTTGTCATGTCTTGTCTTTGCAGCATACCATAAAAGCTCCAAAGGATGGCACAATAAAGAAAGTATTCTACAATGAAGGTACTCAGGCCAACAGACATGCTCCTTTAGTAGAGTTTGAGGAAGAAGAATCTGATCAAAGGGAATCAGTATAAATTCCATCAAAGAAATGGTCAACTGAGCAGTATCTTTTCTGTACTAAAAACAGAAAGCACCTCCTGTTCCTCCCTGGATCTCATAAACAGTTTTACTAAATAAATGATTGTGGGATTGTGCTAAAATGTTTCATATTTGAGAATCATGCTCTTGGGTCACAAATGCAACAAATTATCTCAGAAAATTTCATACTAATAAAATTGAATTCTAGGTTTTTACTGGAAGCCAGTGTTGTTTGTTTCTGCCTCAAATTTTATACAATGTAGTATCTTTAAGGAAGGAGGAGTGACACCTTGATCAAAAGAGAATGATTGAAACAGAAAAGGTCATTTAATTAAATGAATTGCTTCACAGTTATAATTGTGATAAAAATTGAGAGGAACATATTTTAGAGACAGATGCCATAGAACTAAACTCAACCAAGGTTTTGTATTGAAAATAGTAACTTATTAGGCAGTTGAAAGACATGAATGTTATTTATTTCTAGTCCTTGTGATTAGAAAGTTTCTGTCTAGACTGCTTCTGCCTTTATTGTACTATCCTTTCCTCAGCTTTTAAAAAAAAATGTGTACTATGCTAGACTATATTATTTATTAATATTTAATTTGAGTAGATTTGAAAAACATAATTTTATAGAATGGATAAGAGCAGAAAGCCAAGGTACTGCATACTTTCTTCTTCTTCTTTTTTATTATTTATTTATTTATTTATTTATTTTGGGTTTTGTTCTGTTTTGTTTTGTTGTTGTTGTAGTTATAGGAGGACAGGATACCTTTATTTTATTTGTTTATTTTTATGTGGTGCTGAGGATTGAACCCAATGCCTCACGCATGCTAGGCAAATGCTCTGCCACTGAGCTACAGCCCCAACCCCTGCATACTTTTTTCTTGAGAAACATTTTTCTTAATGAAAATAATAGAAAGTTTCCATTTCATTTTTATCCTTTTGACTAGATTTTATGTTACTAATAACATGCAGCCTTCTGCATTTTGATATATTCATTGAAGTGTTAAATATCTATTGAATTGTGTTTGCTGAACATGTAAGACCATGTTAAATGTTGTGGAGAATCCAAAGAAATACAAAGATAGTTTCTTCCCTTTAAGATGCCTATAATTTAATTGGGAAAACATAATAAAAATATAATAAAACATAATCATGTCAAAAGTTATATTATGTGGGAAAACATCAACTCCAGAATTAATCTATCTTCTCTGTACCATGGAAGCAAATCTGTCAGCAAGACTGTGGGGAGAAAGGTACCAAATACTAAAATTAGAAATGCTGAGTACTCAAATAAATGTTACACAACTTAGTTAGAATGTCCATCTCCCCAGCAAGGCAACCTGAAACTCGATATCCCCAAAATGTGGGTGGAGGCAAGGCTGCTGCCCTGTCTGGTGTAGGAAGTAGATATTTTAGGAGCTGGTGTGAGTGAGAGAGTTCTGTGGACAGATGTGATCATGGTAGGGTTCATGGAGGACCCAGGGGGCAGGAGTAGGGTGTGGAAGTTGTAGATAAGCAATGATAAGGAGCTTCGTGTCATTGTTGAAAATTAGCAAGATGTGTTCCATGCCAGAGTAGATCTGCACCAGAGTGGGAGGTGCCTCTGGGGAGGGGGGGGAGGAGGGAGGGGTGCCAAAGAAAGCGAAATTTTAGTTGGGGCCGGATTAACTGGCATGGAACATCAGGTTTGGGTTTTTTGTTTTGGTATGTTTTGGTTTTTGATAGGGAATACACAATTATTTTTTTAGCAGGGAAAGTAGTGACATTTTGGGGAAAAAAGTGTATGGCTACTGGAGCCCTTCAAGGAAAACTAACATTATTTTACAGGATTATACATTTTCATATCCTATAGTTAACATCCCACTTTTAGAAATGCCCAAATATACTTGTGCACCAAGAATGTTTGTAGGCAGAATATAGCTCAGTGGTAGAGCACTTGCCTAGCGCGTGCGAGGTACTGGGTTCTAACCCCAGCACTGGAAAGAAAGAAAAAAAAGTTCATATTCACATCTATAAAAATAAAGCTTTAGAAACTGACTTGGTTGGCAGAAAACAGGATAGTCGCACATTGGATGCTGTTCAGCAATAAAATAAGCAGATTAATAGTCAACATGGATGAATGTTGGAATCATAATGCTTTGTGATAAGCATGTTCCAAGAAACACAATAGAGTACTGTCTGTTCAAACCTCCAGAGTCAGCAACCTGACAATCTACTGTTTAGCTCATGTATACATGTGATAAAACTAAATTTTCTAAAAATCGAATTAAAATTTTTAAATGGAAAATAACTATTAGTTTTAGGTGTTGATTTTAGTGATTAATGCTGGGTATGGGCAAGTCATTGGGATAGATGAGCTTAGTAGTATTTACAACCACTGTTGATGTTCTAATTGGGCTGTGACTGGTTGTTACAGATTGATGCTTTGTAACATGTTACATAAACATTTATAATTCAAATGATATATATATATATATATATATATATATATATATATATATATATATATATTTTAGTTATTGATAGACATTTATTTTTTATTTTTTTATATGTGGTGCTGAGAATTGAACCCAGTGCCTCACACCTGCCAGGCAAGTGCACTACCGCTGAGCCACAGCCACAGCCCCTCAAATGGTATTTTTAAAATAAAATATTCTTTTAAATTTCATCTCACATCAGTATGCAAGCTGGATGGAGAAAGAGAAGACTAGAGGCTGGAAAACTAGTTAGGAAACAGTTCTTACAGATACCTAAGCATGAGGTACTAAAGGACTAGCACATCTAAACCAGGGCTTTTCAAACTATTTTTAGCAACAAACTTTTCTGCTTTCCAACATTTATTTGTTTGTTTGTTTATTTTGCTGCTGGAGATCAAACCATGGGCCTTTTGCATGCAAAGCAGGCACTCTTCTACTGAGCTACACTTCCAGCCACCAAGTTTTCTCTATAAGAAGGATAAGCAAAGGTGCTCTGATGGAAATTTTGGTTGCTGCTTGCTACCTTTCAAAGAATGCTATTTGGATCCTTCAGTGGAACCAGGTGGAACTCTCCATTCATTAAGTGACTAACTGTGATGGGATATGTGGATAAGAAGGAATTGAAGCCAGTTAGCCTGATTACCCCACATTGGTGAAATTCATTCTTTAGGATCACCCTAGTTGTGGTGCTGTGTGAGCATAATTCCCTTCAAATGAATGCCTGTTTATTTTCCAGACACTTCCAGAAGACTTGCTGTCTACCAGGACCTCTGGAAACAAAAATAGTCCTTGCTCTAATGGGAAATCGGATCCCAAAATATAGAAACATATAATATAATTGATAGCAAGTGATAACTCCGCCTTTGTCCTGTGAGGGGGCCAGTGAGTACAGTAATTCTACTTTGGGTCTGGAAGCTGGGAGAGGCGGTGACATTTGAACCAGGATTTGGAGGTTAGCCATTTGCCAGATGGAGAAAGAAGGTGGCAAGCCCAGGCCGTGGCAGGCAGAGGGACTAGCAAGAGCTAATAATAACAACAAGGCATGAAAGCCACAATGGTTTGGGGGCACAGAGTGATCTGACATGGACCAGACCACAATGGGTTTGGCAGAGAGGGGCTGAGAAAGCAGCTGCCCAGCAGGAAAAGGGTTTTTTCCCTGTCCCAGACTTTATTCTGGAGGCAGTTAGAGCCACTAGAGATTTTCAAACAACTATTTTCCAAGTTGTTTAATGTGCACAGTCTGGAGTTCAGATTGGAGCATGAAGAAGGAGTGGAAGCCATTCAAAGGAGGCACTCAATGTGGAGACCTGGGATGAGAAAGACAAACCTTGGTGCCCATCTCCTTGATTTAAAAGTAGTTCTTCTGGGCTGGGTGTAAATAGATGGAAGAGCACATGTTTACCATGGGCTAGGCCCTGGGTTCCATCCCTAGCAACAAAAACAAAAACAAAATATTTAAGGACCCCAAATAGAGTCATACACTTGGAAAAAAGCAGTTTGCTCGTTTCGCTGACAATAACATTTTGGGGGCATCTGTTCAAGACTACCATAACTAAGAGAACAATACAGTTTCAGAGCCTTGTTGCTTTTATTATTGTTGTTGGTGGTGTTCTAGGGATGGAACCCAGGCCCTCATACATGCTAAGCACATGCTCTACCACTGAGCTTCACCCCAGCCCCATGGTAGGTAGTGGTGGTTGGTTTTTCTGTTTTTTTGTTTTTGTTTTTTGGTACCAGGGATTGAATCCAGCAGTGCTTAACCACTAAACCCCATTCCCAGCCTTTTAAATTTTTTTTTATTTTGAGACTGAATCTAAGTTGCTTAGGGCCTCACTAAATTGTTGAGGCTGGCTTTGAACTTATGATCTTCCTGCCTCAGCCTCCTAAATCGCTGGGATTACAGGCCTGCAGCACTGGGCCCAGTTTCTGGTGGTTGTTTGAGACAGAGTCTCCTTAAATTGCTGAGGCTGGCCTCAAACTTGCAATCCTCCTGCTGAAGCCTTCCAAACTGCTGGGATTATAGGTATGTGTCACTACAACCAGCTGATCCATGACTACAATGCTATGTATTCTCCCCCAGGATTAAAAAAAAAAAAAAATCCTGGGGGAGAATACATAGCATTGTAGTCAAAACAATGCCTTGGAGTTAAATTTTTTGCAGTCAGAGCCTAGCTTTGTCTCTTACTACTCATATTGCCTACAGCAAGTCATTTAACCTCTCTGAGCTTTGTCTGTGTAATTAAGGTGGCAGATGTACCTCACAAGATTGTTCTGGGAAATTAATGAGAAAATATAGCTATTGCCTTTAGCATTGTCCCTAGAATGTCATTTATGCTCAACTAGTAGTTATTCATTTCTAACGCCAGTTATTGCTAGCAAGCACTGAAGAGAATGGACTAAATTCAGTTTAACTGGTTACTCTTGCCAGCAAAAATGCCAGGTCCTCAGAGTAGTAAAAACGCCTGCTTGGACGTGCATCACCCTGTGCCCTCTCTACCCTCCCTCCCCCCAGCCCTAGCTTGTTTCAGTGTCACCCAGGCACCTGTCAACCACAAGCAGATTGTGTTGCCTCCAGTCGACTGCCAGGCTGGCCTGTCACTAGAGCCTGTGTGCTGATGGGACAGCCACATGCCCAAGGGCAGCTTGCCTCTTATATGAAGGCTGAGTCTGGACTTACTCCATCTGCCCCAATCAGTTGTCATATGCATGTGTAGCTGGCGCTGTAGGGAAGCCTTCCTGGC